ATCAGTATTTTGTTGCTTAGATATGGCAAATGGGTAACACCAAATTAGGATAGCATCGTCGTCTAGAGAATTTACGGGATTTGTCACGCCTGATGGTCACTATCAATATCGCATGATGAGCTTTGGATTCTGCAACGCTCCAGCCGTCTTTCAGAGAGCTATGAACGAGATGTTGGCGCCTGTCGTCCACAAATGTGCTGAAGTTTACATTGATGACGTTATCGTATGGGGAAGTAATGCTGAAGAGTGTCTTGCTAATCTCAGAAAAGTTCTTGAATTAATTGAGGCAGCCGGAATTAAAGTGAAGAAGAATAAGTGTTCCTTTCTAACAGAGACTGTTGAATACTTGGGAAACTTAATTTCTGGCGGGGAAATTCGACCAGCTCCCCACAAAGTAAGTGCAGTTGCAAACTTTAAAGTACCTCAGAATGTACATGAACTAAGGCAGTTCTTAGGACTTGCCAGCTACTTTCGCAAGTTTATAAAGGGTTTTGCCACTATAGCAAAACCCTTGACAGCTTTAACGAAAAAGGAAACTGTTTGGAAGTGGGGTTCAGAGCAGGACAGTGCGATGGGATGTTTGAAGGACTTATTGACATCTGATCCCGTTCTTGTTATCTACAGCCCAGAACGTGAAACACAAATTCACACGGACGCTTCAAAGGTAGGTCTGGGTGGTGTACTTCTTCAATGTCACGAACATAGAGAGTGGAAAGTTGTTGCTTATGCTAGTAGGCAAACCTCTGTGAGTGAGATTAATTATCACAGTTTCGAACATGAGGCTTTAGCTATTGTCTTCAGTATTATGAAATTCAAGGTATATGTTGCGGGAATAAAATTCAGCGTCGTGACGGATTGTTCCGCCCTGAGACTTGCATGGTCAAAAAGAGATCTGTCGCCACGAATTGCCAGATGGTGGCTTGATTTACAGGAATTCGACTTCGATGTGGAACATAGACCAGGGACATCGATGTCACATGTTGATGCCTTGAGCCGAAATCCGGTACCAGTCTGTCACATTCAGGAAGAAAAATTCATTAATGCCATACAAGATGGTGATGAGGATATTCAAAATTTTATTAAAAATTTAAAAACAGAAATTGAAGCTAACAGAAGTAAAAAAGATGGATTAGCCAAAAACTTTAAGCTTAAAGAGGGATTGTTATATCGGGTTACCAATGGAGGATTGAGACCTGTGCTACCTAAAAGTGCTAGATGGCATATTATGAAGCTTTACCATGACGATAATGGGCACTTGGGACTGGAGAAATGTGTAGAGGCCATACAATCCAAGTACTGGTTTCCGAAAATGCGAAAGAATGTTGGGAAGTATGTCTCGAGTTGCATAGGATGTCAGTTTACAAAGAAACCTACAGGTAAGCAGCCGGGATTGCTGCACCCTATTCCCAGAGTGCCGGCACCTTTCGATACACTACATGTGGACCATTTAGGTCCTTTTTGCAAGAGCAATGGCAAATCATATATATTTGCCATAATTGATGGCTTTACTAAATTTATATGGCTCGAGGCCGTAGCAAGTGCAAATGCAAAAGGTGTCATAAAATCTCTAAGCAAATTAACTCAAGTATTCGGTTATCCTGTTCGGATAGTGAGTGATAGAGGAACTGCTTTCACTGGAAAAGATCTCGGGGATTATTGCACAAAACATAATATTAAGCATGTGCTAAACGCGGTAGCATCGCCCCGAGCGAATGGGCAAGTTGAGCGGTTGAACCGCACGATTTTGAGTTCTCTCACTGCTTATATGGGTAATGAACAAAAGGGATGGGATGCGTATCTTCCTAAAGTACAGTTGGGCATTAATTCAACAATTAGCAAAGGAACTGGAAAATCGCCTCTGGAATTATTGTGTGGTCTGAGGCCGCGCATGGCGGCTGATCTTGTTGGTTCAATGTACACGACCAACCTAAATGAGTTGAGGGCCGAAGCAGCGGAAAGTGTTAAAGCAAATGCTTCTCGGATGAAGGAGCGGTATGATAAAAGTCATAGATTACCAGAGCCGATTAAGATTGGATCCTTGGTAATGGCAGAAAGAAAAATAATTAGACCAGGATTAGCGAGTGGTAAGCTGGTACCACGATACTCAGGACCTTATAAGATTACAGCCGTACTGCCTAATGATCGCTTTGAGGTTACGTCAGCTGAGAGGGGCAAAAGAGCATATAAGAACATAATAGCTCGTGATAAACTGAAGTTGTGGTATGCTATATGCGAAAGCTCATCCGAAGAGGAATAAAAAAAAATATATATATATTAAAAAAATTAAAAATAAAAAAAAATATATAGCAAAAAAAATATATATATAAAATTCCAATGGATGCCGTAGTGGGCGAGATCCATGTTGGGCCGTAATGGGCAAGGTTCATGGGGGCCGTAATGGGCGAGATTAATTGATGCCGTAATGGGCGAGATTAATTGATGCCGTAATGGGCGAGATCCATGTTGGGCCGTAATGGGCAAGGTTCATACGGGCCGTAATGGGCGAGATTAATTGATGTTGTAATGGGCGAAATTGATAATGGGCCGTAATGGGCGAAATTGATGATGGGCCGTAATGGGCGAGATACACAAAAGCCCTTATGGGCGAGTTCATGGATGCCGTAATGGGCGAGGTTCATGTATGCTGTAATGGGCGAGATTCCATGAGTACCTACGGGGTACACGTAGTATCCCAATCAACTTGAGGTGGGTGCGTTATGACAATACAAGCACGATACGAAAGCAGACGGTGTGCTATGTTACACTTAAGGAAGGTCGTGTCCTTCGGAGACCGAAGGTATGAAGGATGGCCGAGCTGTTAGACTACGATACTCTTTATCGACTGTATTAGTGGAAGCACTATCTGTCAGTGGGTTGCCATTGTCACCTTTGAAGTTGACATTAAAAATGAAGAGATATTTTCGGGCGGGAATAGAGTACAAATGTTGTTGTGAAAAGTTTATGTTAAAGAAAACAGTTTTATAAAATATATGATCATTCAGTCAAAGTTGTGTTTTAATAATACATACATACACTATATACATACATGCACTATATACATACATACACTATATACATACATACACTATATAATACATATACTATGCATAACACCTTTCTGGGGGCCAATTCTACTAAATAAATTTTGTTTAAATCGAATCGAAATCGGATCGAAACCGAACGTTTTTAATGGTTTTTCTATTCTACTAAGTGGCATACGATACAATTCCAGCTAAAATAGAACTGGAATTTAAACAAAATTTATTTAGTAGAATTGGTCCCCTGATCATCATCATTTTTCACCAATCCCATGCCGATACCAGATAACGGAGAGAGGAGTTACCATCTCGTATGTCGAATCGATTAGGAATCGAAATGTCGCGACACTAGTGTCAAGATATAGTTATAAACAAAGTTTTACCTAAGTAAATATTTTGCATCCAAAATATACTATAATATTCATCCAAATTCTATAAAATCAAATAATTAAATATTGATGTCTCATAAGATATGAGAGCCAAAGCCTATCTTATTCATATTATTTTATTTGAGTTTTTGCAGAGACTTAAATGCGTGTGCAGACTGGGCAAAGGAACGTCAACCGTAAATACAATAACAAACCTTATCATGGTGTCAAGTCAAGAACAATTTATAAAAACTCACCTACGAATTGACATTCGGTGTAAATTGAATAACAAACGATAATAATAATACACTTTATAATACATATTCTGATTTAAAATTGATATAATTAAACTAAAACAAAAAAAAATATATCGAGTTATCATCATTTCAATATCGATACTTTTTAATTTACATACTATATCAAATGACAGCCAGTGTGACCGTTTGTGGCAATTTTCTGCCATTTGGGCAGATTTTACAGCTAACTTTTAACTTGATTCTGTGTGTTTAATTTCAAGATTGCAGAATTCAAGAAAATCTTAATCTTTTTTTAAATACATCTGTAATTTTGCATATCTATTCTAAATACTTATGATTTTGAATGTTTACTTTATTTTATTAGGCATTTCTGGTAGGTATATCTGGTAGGTAATTATATACTTAATAAGGTGGATAATTTGTTGCATGAAAGGTAGTAGTTAGTATGGAGAAGTTTTTGGGAGTCGCACCAATACAATTTTAAGTGTGGATAAATTCTATCTATCAATATTGTCACACCTTTTTTGCCGGCGTGGTATTCAGAGGGCAACATACCTCTCTCGCCTCCTCCACACACAACATCTACCTTTACATTCAAGAACGCCGGTAACCTAACTCTTGAATTGGCCTTTTTCTTTAATAAGGGTGCGATTTAGTCGTGGTACTATCGTCTAATTTTCCTCTTCCAGTATTCCATGTCATACTCGCCTTATATATCAGCTTTGTTAATCGCCTTTCACTCATCCTTTCCATCTTTGTAACTATATATTCTTTCATACCACATCACTCTCTTATTGCATTGTTTGGAACTTTGTCACTCAACTTAACTCCAATCACACTTCTCAGCGCTCTCATTTCTATTGCATTTATTATACTTTCATACTTTTTCTGTCATACCAAACTTTCACTTCCATACATCAATGTTGGAACCAAAACTCCACCAAGTATAGCCAGCTGAGCCTTCTTAGACATCTTCTGGGTAACCATGAAGGAGTGTAAGTCGCCATTCATCATAATTCCAGCATTCATTCGTTTTTTATATCACTTTCAACGTTACCATCTCTTATAAACATCGATTCCAGATAGACAAATTCACTCACTTGCTCCACTCTCTTTTATTTTAAATTTTTATCTCGCATTCTGTCATAATATCTTTCCTTTTAAAAACCATTATATTCGTCTTATCTTTTACTTGCATTCCTTACTCTTTTAGTATAACAGCATCTACTGTATCTACTGTAAGTAGTCACTTTCTGGAGATGGGTTTGGCAGATTTTTAGGTAGTGTTGAGCAGATATAACAGTTTTGAAACGGTCACCCTGATGATAGCTGACATTGACACATCGTTGACGTTTCTTTGGTTTTGAGCCTTTCGTCGTCTTGATGTCATTTTCGGAAGAAAAGAAACCTTTTTACATAATTTAATGGCCTCCACTACTATACTGTAAGACTAAAAGGGACCGCTATTTTTACAATTGCCATAATGCTACGACTTTATCTACAAACTACTTGCCTGCAAGGAAGGTACTCACTTCAAAGTAACCTTCACAGGCAAATATTATCAAAACTGAAATGTATGGGTATTTACCAAAATCAATACTACCGGAGATTTTCCAACGATACTAAAGAAGAAGAGCAACTGGAACAAATATATTACGGACCTCTGACGCCACAAATTAAAGCAGTTAAAATATTCTCTCTGACATCTAGTGTGGCTGGTCTAATGGCGCAACCCATCATTGTTAAACAAGCAGCAACTATAGGAAGTACATCACTTCTTGTAGTGATTTGTTCAATGGTTGGTTTCTTTACTTTCATCACCCCTTTGCTATTGCACTTTATCACCAAGAAGTATGTTACAGAAATGTGTTATGATCCAAAAACATGTACATATAAGGCTACTACAATAAATTTCTTCCTTGCAGAAAAAGAGGTAAATATGTTGTTTATTAAAGCATACATAATATTAACATATGTAGCAGGATAAATGTTTTATCTCTAATGTTGCAGCTAGAATTCACTTGTGATGATGTGAGTGTACCCGAAATCCCTGGAATGTTCACAACCTTTCATGCAAAAGGCAAACCTTTGTTTGTGGAAGCGAGGCATTTTAATAATCCACTTTACTATGCAAAGCTCATGGGTTATGATAAACCTATGGATTTCAAATTGGGAGAAATAGAAGATTCTGATAACAATCAAAAGTAGTTAGTAGGCAATTAATTGTAACTGTTATATAGTATTAATATAAAGATTGTTCTATTTGAAACTAACTGGCTTTTACCTGACTTCCCTTTTTTTGTACTTGTATTATATAAACAATTAATAACCAATTTAAGTTTGACATATATTTTTACAGGTATAGCTTATATCTTTTTTATACATAATTATTAAAAACACAAGTCAGCTGGTAGTAATTATGGCAACACATATTTTATGAATTTCACAGTTCCCTTGAAATATACATAATGTTTATAGTGCAGTCACAGCTCACCTTCACACCTTAGATCAGGCGATTGTTAGATCATATGGATATTGGATGTAGCTATCTGATATAAATATAAATTATATTCAAAATATGTATGAATATGTATGATTGTAAAATTCTAAAAAAGAAACAAAATTTGGAGTAAAGACTTTTAATAAGCTTATATAGATATAGCTGATTACAATAATTCCACATTAGTGTAAACATTTGACTAGACAGTATTACTGTCATCTGGAACTCTAAACATCATCATCAATCATACTAGGTCAGTATATTAGGTAACTTAACATTAGGTTTGAAAATTAAAATACTTTCCTATATACTAATGCCTGTATTCAAAACTTGATTGAGGGAATGTTTATTGATTTGCTTATTTTTATTATACATATTTTCTTTTCAACTACTCAGCAAGGGTATTGACAACATTTAAGTTATTTATAATCCACTTTTTATAAATAAGACAGTCTAAAAAATATGTTGTAAATATATTTGGTTAGAAGCTTTTATTTTTATTTACACTTTATATATAACATGTTTTTATTTTTACACAAATAACATTTCAGCACCTTCACAATTGTCCTCAATATACATACTTTATAATATTGCACATAAATATAATTATTTTTGTGTAATTTTAGTAAATTTGTAAAACATAATTTCTATGCAATTTATTCAATTGACATAATCTAATACTTTTTCCAATTAATTACAAAAATATTTATATACAAAATATCATTTTACTGTACAAATTGTAGTAAAAATATGTGCAATGATAAAATTAATTAATACATAAGAATTTATGCTCATTTCCAGACTAATTAATAATATTAGAACAATACATATTTCTATTAAATAAAATATAACATAATCCTTGACATTTAACAAGCAACAATAATTTTTAGAATGTCTGCCTAATAAAATTACATTCTCTATACTTATCAAAACCACCATACATAATACCTTTCTTTTCCACAAAAACCTTTTACTTTCATCACCCCTTTACCCCATTTCATCGTTGTTATTTCAAACTAAGCATTTCTGTATACATATGGTCAAAAAATATATATCGTCATTTTGATTTTTTTTACTATAATTGGTTGTCATTATCTTTATACTATATATGAAAACTACTGCATCAAATAAAGTATATAACATTGTATGAACCAATACATCGTGTTATTATAACTTATGTTAATAGCATTCGAATGTCATACTTAAAAAGCTATATAAAATCAATCTCAAATAACACAAAATATATGAACTATGCAATGAAATAAAACTTTTTTAATCCATAACATACTAAACAAATACGTATTATAAACTGGCGAGTGTCCAACATAACACTAATAAAATAGAATTTGGAATTAAGTTTGGAATGACTATTTCATAGAAGTTTCTATGTGAAATACTGATTGCATTAAGAGCCAATATTTACTGTCGACTAATCATCAGGCGACCGATTCGCCGGTAGTTGCAGTTTACAGTTTGTTTAACGCTTTAGTATAATTGTATGCACTTGTTTGTTCGTTCGGAACGAAGCAACATTTTTGTAATTAAAGTTTTTGACAGTCCAATGATTTTTAAGTTGTTAACGGGCTCTTAAACAGGCAATATTTTTCGACAATTAGGGACTGTATTATGAATAACTTGTTGCCCGGTCAGCACAAAACTGTTTTTTGGTTGTCTGGTAACATTACAAAACAATGTACTTTAAATATTTGGCTATATGGCCGGTATATAACAGTAATATTGCACAAACTGGCTGGCCACTGTAATGCAGCCATTAATTGCTGAAAAATATTGGCAATTTAGAAGCCCCTTCAGGTATATTCATACTCGTCACATCGCATATCCAACGGAAAATAATGTAACAAAAATTTTCGCTAATAAAAAGTTAAAGATTTTTTCTTATTGTTTGATACATAAATATATTAAACTAGGAGATCCATTATAACGGAACAAAAAACATCAAAATCTTTCTAAACAACTTAATGCTATTAAAACCTAATACAGTTATGTCAACTAAAGCTATGGGAATGGAATTTTTGGAAGTTAAGATTTTGATACAAAACTTACTAAAAGTGATTATGTTGTTTTTTCTTTGAACGAGTATTGGTAGTTTATTCAATGGCACCTAACAATCATTACTAGATTTACCCTTTATGAAATAATGAAATATTTTTACTGTATACAATTTTTTTTAGTTAACACAAAGAAATCGACAGTTCTGCCGCATATATACTTACATCGATTCCCTTCCCATCGAATTGAATATTCAATAATTTTCAACATATTGAATACCGTGTATATATTCATTATATACGGTTGAATCAAATCACTATACATTTAACATAGTATTGATTATTTCAGCGGTTATCAAACTTTTTTGACATAGCAGCCATTATGGAAACCAAGTAGTTACACGGTGCCCTAAATAGTTATTATATAAAACCTAGTTTTATATGTACTGTTTAATAATAATAACCGAGAACATACCGACTTGACCATAGAGAATAAAGTTACATCTGCCTGATCTCTACATGTAAAGCGACCTAACATATTGAATTATACAAAAGTATCTGTTACTTTAATGTTAATTATTTAAGATATTCAATTGGTATTGCAACATTGGTAATTATTATTTGATTAGAATAGTTAATTATGTCAGTAAGCCCTTAGAAAGATTTAAACACTGAATTGAAAATATAAACCATTTGAACTTTTTGCAATCGATATATTGAAATATGACCCATATTATTGAGCCCACTTTGTTATGCGTGTGCGCTCCACAACTATTCTTGAGCACACACACTTTGAGAAACGCTTGGTGCTATTTAATTCAATTCCACATCAAGAAAATCGATGCAACGGTAATTGAGCTGAATTCTCGCGGTTCTTAAACAGCATACGCTTAGCTGAAAAAATCAAATTTTGGCTAGAACACCATTTCACCAATCTATAAAGATTAAAAGGCTGCCAATATCACACTCAGTCCTAAACTCCGATGAAAGATATTTACATCAGGTGTACACTAAACTTCCCCATTCAACATTTAAACAATTGACGAGTTGAAATTACACCCTCAGTCGTAATGTAATGCGTTGTCAGCTAGTGAGTGCTCAGCAGTATTGATTTTATCGTCGATAGCTTCTAAGGCGGCGGCTCTCGCTCTTTGCCGTCCCGCCCATTCCACGCGACAGAACGCCGCTGTACCCATCGACGCTAGTATGCCTAATATAATAAGCTGTACAGACAGATACGCCTGCGACGAGTAGAAGAAGCACGCCGCCGCTGCCATTGACTATAAAAAAATAATAGAAAATAATTATGATGATTTTTAAAAATGGAAATCTCGGAATATTTACAAAATTAAATTGTAACTAATCATATGAATGATACTTTTTTTTTCCATGTATATCTATAAAATAAAAAGTTATCTACACCCTACATTACTGTAACTTGTTTTGTAAGCTAAATAGGTTCACTTTACTATGGCAAAATTTATATGTCTACTTTTTAAATAAAACTAATGTTACTCTGTAGTTGGAACAAGAGTATCGTCACGTAGGGTTAAACGTCTTATTACTGTGTTTGTTTGTTTTAAAATAATCGAATAATTGTTTTAAGAGCGTCCACTTATGTCAAGCAAGAAGATGATTGTTAATTGTGTTCTGCTTCGTTAGAAATTAAAAGAGATGGATCTGGGGAATCCACGATCATAGAAAAACACATTGTTTCCCGGTCGGAAAGTCGGGGATTCCCGAGAAATTAAACCGATTGAACACTACGTTCCATTCTAATGCTGCCAACTTAACAATTTACCTAAATTTAGGGAAAATTACAAGTAGTAGGTCGGGTCGGCGAAAAAAGACTGGTAACTAGATAGTATTTTTTGTGTTTCAGTTGAATGACTGATACCAGGTATTAAAAATTAAAAAGCTCATATCATTGAACACTAGTATTCGTTATTTTATCCGGTATGTTGTTCTGTTTTACCATAATATTTTTCTTGTTAAGTTTCCTTTCAATTGATGCTGACAGTGAGGTAACTTGAAAACAAAAAAAAATCCTCACGGTTCTTGTCTTTTTTCGCCGACCCAGTAGGCCTTGTTCAATGAGCGAGGGAACTATAAGGGGGCGTCTGTGGGAAATTATACAGAATCAGAAAGAAGCGCCGGACGAGAAAGGGGCGCCCCTTTTCCTCCGACGCCCCTGGGCGGTCGCCCAACCGCGCCCTACCCTAACGCCGCTACTGATAATAACGAAGTACTCGATTTAACAGTCAACACTGGGTGTGTTACCAGGGGGCCAATTCTACTAAATAAATTTTGTTTAAATCGAATCGAAACCGAACGAAAACTATAGTTTTTAATGGTTTTCCTATCCTACAAAGTGACATACGATACAATTCCAGTTCTATTTTAGCTGGAATTGTATCGTATGTCACTTAGAAGAATAGAAAAACCATTAAAAATTGTAGTTTCGTTCGGTTTCGATCCGTTTTCGATTCGATTTAAACAAAATTTATTTAGTAGAATTGGCCCCCAGTACACGCCCACTACTTTAACAGTGACCCACAAACTTCGTTAACAGGCTACAAAGCCATTATATAAGAATTTATGTTAAATGTGTTAACAGATAATATAACTATATATTATGCCAACAGTCGCAACGCTCACTATGTTAACAGTCGACATTAGGTATATTATGACAGTGACACATGCAGTACGTTAATTAAGTAAATTGATAATGGTGGGTGCTCGTCCACTACTTAAGTAGTATTTTATTTGCAAGAAATATTTCTTATATAAACAATTTAATTAACCTACTTTTAATAAATGTACAAACACATCGCAGTGGAAAATCGTAAGAATGCACTATACAAAGGTCATTCTTATCAGGCGACGTGTCTTGTTAAATGAGCAATTTCAATAAAATGTTACTGGACAAAACTTTTAACATCAATAGTGATTGATGTTAATTGATTAAAACGTTGCCAGTATAGAGACATTGAATTATGATGTGTAGTGCTTATACTACGTATATGTATGTACACATTGTTGCGCGTCAGGTGAGAATATGTCCATTTTTTTTTATTTTGAACTCTACTCTTTAAGCGTTAAGGTTAAAAATCGAGTTAATAAAATCACATATTTGTACACCGTGCCATTTATTTTTTAGTATTACGTAACTCAATAGAAGAAAAAAACGGAATCCTTCTAGGATCACTTGATTATCTGTCTATGCTAATTAGTTCTTAACCTGCATATTATAGGTGAAGTATTATGATTTTTTTTTTAATTAATATCTATACGGAATCGCACTTAACCTGTTTTTTATATAAATATAATCATCACAGTATTCATAGGTATTAATAAACAAACGAAAATCAACTCACCTGAGTGAATTTAAACAGGGCAAACGCCGACGTGCTGTTATCAGAGTAATTCCCTCCAAGTATAGAGTATATCTGGGTATTGAAGCAAGCGTCCCCGAAGCCCAGTAGAAAACTGCAAAACATCGCCAAGTACTGCGACGGGTTGATGTAGGACACGTCGCTGGTGTCACCGAAAGGCGCCGTTGTAGGCAAGTTTATGAAGATCAGGAAGAAACAGCACAGGTGGATCAAATAGCCCATTATCACTATCGGATCGCGGCCCCAACGGGTCGTTTTCGTCCCGAGAATACCGAACAGAGCGCCACCTAGTGATAACAATATCAATGAAAAATTAGATTTTCTTTTATACCAATATGGCATTTAAAAACAGATCGTTATAAATATTAGATAACAGTGGATAACAAATAGGTAGGTTTTTTTTTTTAAATTCAAATGCAATTCGTAATATAAAACCGGAATTGTTTTACGGTTTATAGTAATCTGCTATTTACTTTTGTCGGGGCATTTTTTTTAAGGACTCTTGAACATTTTACGATATTTTGGAACAATCCCGGCGAATCTTGATCCAGTTCATAAACGCTAATCCTAACACAAACGCCTATAAGTGTAAAACTCAAATAAATTACATCGTCTATAGAGCCTCTCCATAGCATAATGCAATATTTTGTCTGTGCAACCCGAATGTCAAACAAGCAAAGCCGGATCTAAAGTGGGGGAAGTGGGGGCTTTTGCCCCGGGCGTCACTAAGCTACGATGGAACGGATATCTTTTCAAAAGCCCTAATTTAAAGTAACTTTATCTAAATATAAATCAAAATGGTAAAATTTCAATAGAAATGTGTTCATGGCGTGGTGCATAAATTGGAATTAATACCACAGAATACGAGTAATACAGTAGCGAAACTTGAGCGAACTCTGGGAATAAATACCTTAGTTATTAATAAAACAATACCTATTATATTACTTTTGTACAAACTTATTCTGTGGTACAATTAATAAATTTTGGTTAGCATCTTTTTTATTCCCAGTATTTTATATATAGCGTTTCTGAAGAAAAGTTGTGGGTTTGCCCTGTGGGTATTGTATATATTATTTTTTATAATTACACAATCAATGTGACATTCGGCACATTTCTTAAAGAGATAGCCACAAATATAAACAAGTAAATTTTTTCGGGCACTCCAGTTGGTTATATTCTGAGTTCTGATTATGAGTTCAAACTAAATTGATAATGCTTTCATAATCTGAAACAAAAAAGTTACACCAGCCAATTTGAAATATTTCATTAGGGTTCCGCAGTGAACTTATACTTTCAACATGTCCATCTATCCATCCGTTCGTGGTTTAACTCAAATCTATTGAACTAGAAAGTGTAATTTGGCATGAGTATACACGTCAATAACACCGACAAAGTGGTAAAGTAAAATTTCGGAAAAAATATCTGTTTAGGGTACCTCCCCTACATGTAGTGGGGATGATGATTGGCATCGTTGGCTAGATCTTTCAAAAACATTCGGAGTGGGCATCGTTGGATTGGTCTTTCAAAAACATTAGGGTGTGGGAAAGCCGGTTTTTGATTTAGTAAGTCTTTTGTTAATTATTGAACTATAAAAAGGTAATTTTCATTATAGTCAAGTAACCCCCCTATACCAACTAAACGGTAATTGGTAAAAATTCAAACGGCAGTAGTACCTATATATAATGAAGTTAAAAAGAAAACTGTCACACTTAAGTTGGCTCTCCTGAAGAAGTTTTATGTAATGTAAAAACTCTTATACAAGTTTTGTGTAGGTTGGCTACTGATGATGTCCATATATTGTCAGCGTAAGCTAGAGTTCTCTCTTATAAAATTTATTTATGTGAAAATTTACGATTAATAGTCGACCAATTGTATTTAACTCGAAAATTTCGAACGACTCCATAGAAAACAACAAACGTGATTTTTTTATGGAAAATAGTACTGAACCCTACGTACGAGAGATCAACTCACACTTAGCTGTTTTTTTTTTACATTAACCCGATTGGGAATAGAACCCAGATACTTAGACGATGGCGGGACTTTGAACAAACACGTGCCAGCTACGCAACCACGGTAGTTGTCAATGACTGTTTAAATTTGTCAATGACTGTTTAAATTAAAAAATAATTTAAAAAGTTCCCTATTCGCTAGGTGCACGATGGTAGCGCCAACTAGCGGTTACAATTATGTCCGACATTGAAATGTCAAATGGTTGGCATTTAGTACGAATAGTAAGTAAACAAACAATAATTTAGTTGAAATAGCGTAATTTACTAAGATTTTATCGATCTTTCATCAGCCAACTACACAGCAGGTATCGTGACGCATATTATTAATTTTTGCTTAAAATGCACAAATATGTAAGTTTCTTAAGTAAAAAGTGACATTTCGTGCGACAGAGTTTCCGTTTTAGCCAAGGTGCGCGCTGCGATCGATTCATGTTCTCCCACCACCTACTTCGCACCCAGAGAATAGACACTATTAATTAACCTTAAAAAGAATCATACAACTATATTTCCATAAACAAACCTCTTAAAACATTGATAAGGCTTATTATGAAAGCGACAATGCGATATCGATAACAATAGCTATTACTTGATCAGTGTAAAGTGTAATGTCAAATTTTTGATAACAAAAAAATAGGTTAATTGCTTGAAGGTCGATCATGCGTCATTTCTTTCAATGAATGATTTTACTATGATAAATAAAGGAGCACGATAACGTTAAGGTGAAGGTTACATTAACTAGGTCTTATCAGTGTTACAAGTAATTTCAAAGTTTCAATTGGTCAAAGAAATTATTTATTAACTAGCTTTCCGCTATTGGCTTTGCCCACGTGGTCCCTTGGGAACCGTAGAAAAAAAAACCATCAAATTACGTTCAATATTTTTTGCGTGAAGAAGTAACTAACATCCAAACTTTCGCCTTTATAATATTAGTAAGAAAAATATGTCTATAAACACGTTGCTACCACGAAAGTTTGTGGCTATTTTTGACAATATATCTGCAGTTCATTCACTACTATTAAAATCAACTTTATAATATTAAAATAATTAAGCTTTATATATTACAGATAAAAATAAAATTATCGATTTTAATTTTTCAACGTGGACTTAAATATGTTAACTAAGCCATATGAATAATTTTGCGTACTTATAACAAAATTTTCCTGTAGCTCTTTTCTGTGTTCTGTGTACTCTGCCATCATTTGATACCACTAATAACACGAAAATATTCATCATCATCAGCCCTTTTACATCCCCACTGCAGGGGCTAAGGTCTTCCTTATAGATGGTTGAGAAGGATGGGCCATGACCCTCCACGCTGGCCCAATACGGATTGGAGGGTATTAACGACTGCAAATGTAGCCGGGACCAACGGCTTAACGTGCCTTCCGAAGCACGGAGTAGCTCGAGATAATAATTTTTTGGTCACCCATCCCGAGACCGACCCTTGCTAAAGTTGCTTAACGACAACGATCGCGGGCCGCGGCGCTTATCCGCTACGCCACCGAGCTACGAACATATTATTTGTTCCAAAACGGTTCCAACTCAGTATATGCTGGTCTTCCACTGGAATCGGTTTAGTGTATAGTGAAGTCACGAACAGCAACTAATTTTTGAATAACATGACTGAATAGTTTGTTTTTGTCCGTTATTAATTACAGTTCGCCATGATATTTGACATTTTGAAGACCTCACTCTACACTAGCGCCTCTAGTGACAAATTCGAACACGTTAACCCTCATTATGATCGCGACGTTTTTTGTTTGAAAGATTTCTTTTTGAATAATTGATGTCCTTGACATTGTCTTAGACCAGCGTTAGATGCAAATATCTTTGAAAGCTGAGATGTCAAACGTAGAATTTAATTCAACTGCAATTTTTCAACGGACTTAGTTCATTATGTTTCTTGATAATTGAAATCATCATTGGTCCCAAAAGCAATTGCAACTTTAAACTATCACAAACGCTATTACTTTAAAAGAGATTGCGAAAAATTTAGAAATTAGACAAGCTCACAGATCTAGTACGTAGTATTAGCTCATAGCCGCAATTTATCGATCCATCGAACAATAAATAGATAATTAACTAATCAATTGAGTAACATACGTGGTAATTGTAATCTAGATCCTTGATCAAGTAGATACTTTTGATTTTCCACATGTTGTTCTACAAGGGAACTCGAGTGTAATCGAAACAACAATTAAGACTATGATGAAAATCGATAATAAGGCCATCGATTTATCGTCAGTTAATCAATGTTGCATCTTTCAATGTTATTGTGTTGCGTAAATCGTAAGGAAAATACCGATAATATTAAGTATTTATTATCGAATCTAACAAAGAACGTTTGTAACAATGACGTCATGATATTGTAGACTATTGAAATTAAAGAATATCATCAAAATTTTATAATCACTACACGTAATCTCAATTGCTTTTAATTATATAGTAATTCCCCCTTTTCAAAAAGGTCTAATCGTCCCAGGTAGCTATTTTAATAGCCTGGCTTAACCTATCAGAGCCTTATCTATATTTGTATATACTTCGATTAACGTAGATAAACAGGTTTTTTTTATTATTCCCAGTCTGAACGAACTGTATACGAAAGCGCATAAATTATTTACTAGCCGAATATCATCAGACTTTTGCGTATGGAGATTCCGTTTTTCTATCTACATTCTACGTTTCTACATCTTTACATATCAAGATTAGCGAACGTATATATTACTTCACTTCATCATGAGAAACCCCATGCATGAGGTTTAAGAATAATAGGAATCTCTTGAACATTCGAATAAGTACAACTCATTATCTTCAATAAGAATTATCATTAAGAAAATTAAAGCTACTCAGAGAAAAGTCGCTCGTGTCATCAAATATAAAAAGCTAAGCTCCTATTTTATACCTTAATGTGTTAATAATTAAGTTCAAACTTTATTGCAGGCATTTGGCCGGTTGTAAAATTAGGGTATCATCATCAACCCTGATACGATACACTTCAGGGGCTCCGGTCTTCCATATGAATTGTTAAGGAGGATGGACCATAACCCTCCACGTAGGTCCAATGCGGATCGGAGGGTATTTACCACTGCAAATGCAGCCGAAGCCATAAGCTAAACGTGCCTTCCGAAGCACGGAATAGTTCGAGATAACAATTGTTTTGATCACCCATCCAGTGGCCGACCCCTACTAAAGTTGCTTAATAACAACAATCGCGAGCCGCGGCGCTTACAAATACTACAAAAGTTCTCACCGAGCACTTCTCCAACACCGATGAAGACACCAGAGAGACCGACCAGTTGCTTCGCGTTGTCCCCCATGGCCAACGTGAATCCAATACTAGGGCTGTACACTCCGCTCAAGAAAGACAGCTCCACACCTTAAGGGGATGACATTGCTCAAATCAGTGGAGTTTTGGTTTGTAAAACCGTTTTAACCAAGACTTATGATATTAATATTTATATGAGAAATTTCTTTTTAACGATAAAACCAAATTTATGCTTGTATTCGTGTTTTTCTTTATGGTGTACAATTAAGTGTTCATTCATTCATTCATAAGGTGTAATATTATTATGTGTCAGGACTTCGTGGAGTGGATTAGTTAAGTATACTGACCAGATTTTACTATGGAAGCAACACTGAATTCACGAAAAAATAATCAGCTGTTTCATGCTGTTGACAATTGTATGTATTACAATTTTGTATGAAAAGTCCTGGACTATAATATTATTACCTGGCCTATAATAATGGCCTATTACAAGTAAACAACTGACCGGTGTAAATAAAGGTGATGCTCAACAGCAACATGTCTCTTGTGCAGAAAAGCTTCAACGCTCCTTTAAAAGCTTCCATTGGACCTTCTTCCACAGTTCTAACTTCACCCTGAAAAACAAATTAATAAGTAAAATCTTAGTGTTGTACCTACTACAATATCGTGTTTCGGCTAACCTCATTCAAACCGACGAAAAAACACTGGCAGGGTAATTATTTATTCTAATTATGTAATGAAAGGGATGATGTAATGAAAGAAATGGAAATTCTATTTAGTCCGTCAGACAGATAATAAAAAATATTAGATACATATATTTTTTTTTACTTCAATTTAAAAAGAAATAGCTTAGATAACCGGCGTTAAAGTTGAGGAGTCCCCACTCCTCTCGCTCGCTACGGAACAATTTTGTAGAAAATGTACAAAAGCGTGACGTCATGTGACACTTTAACTCAATATATCGCCGTAATTTAAGCAAAAAAAATTCGTGTTTAATATTTTTCAACTATTTACCTCACGGATAAACAAAAATATTTAGTCGTCAGTTAGATGGATTAATATAGGATTAATCCATCTAACCAGGGGGTTAGAGATAGTGACATCTGGTGGACATGGAACCGCCAAGAGAGTCAAACAGCCACGGAGGTTGTATGATTTTTACTCAGAGTTAGCTGTCAAAGCTTGAATGCTGCAAGAACCAAGCAGAATCATTTCTGCTAGTCGCACGTAATCGTTAAATGGTAAACTATATTTACAAATTTAATCTTCCCCACTTGCACTTTGGCCTTTTTGTAACAAAAGTGCGATTTGTGAGAATGCGATCATCTTATGACATTTGCTTCTAAGTGTAATGGCCTATCGGAATTTCGGAATGCACGACTCTCGTTGTACACGCAGCAGTACACTAGAGGGCTTAGTTTGAGTTTTATTAACATTTACGTTCACATTCGACCGTGAATGCATTCAGATTTTGCACAGCGAATTATATAAGAAAGAACGCGTTACAAAAACCTCAAAGAAATTTTGATTGAGGGTCAAAATTCATTAAAGACATTTTCTAGTTTCTTTGAGTAATGTCTTTGTTTTCTATTAGTACAAACTTTTCAAAAAAATAAAAGAGATAAAAATAAAACCGAATCCAGAAAGCTTTGTGAAAATTAATTATTCAACTGTCAATGTTACTCGCATATCTAAATAATTAGTACAAATTTTTCAAAAACATAAAAGTGATAAATATAACACTGAGTTTGAAAAAGCTTACTAAAAATTTAAAAATATAAAAATTTTGAAGTTCCTTTAGACTGACGTATGTAAAATTTGTGCAATTCCAACAATTTTATACGTATACGGGTCAAATCGATAACCTCCTTTTTTGAAATCTGTTAAAGTTTTAGTTTAGTTATAAAGCGTGTATTCAGCCAAATTCAGACATATATTAAAAAAATAACAATCACCTTTGCATCTTCCAGGCTCGGCGTCCGTCTCGTGGGTCTCAAAAGCAGCAGGAATACAATACCGACTACGCATATCCCAGTGAGTGCACCAAACACCACATTTCGCGTCTCCTTGTCGATGTGGTTCTTGCCTTGGAACTTTATATAAACGAACAGGTTGCCGAAGAAGAGGCTGAAAGAAGTTATTATTGTAGAGCATAGACAATTTAGAAAAAAATATAGATATATCGCCTTTTTATATTTGATCACGGTCAAGACGACCGGACTGCTGAGAACTAAAAATTCTTTAGTAAGTTGAGTTTAAAAAATGTATAATATATGAAACGGATAGTTCATTAAAAGCCGAATATTCGGCGGAATTCTGCCATTGGCTGCATCGCAAGAAGAGAAGATGCATAACGCCTAAGTCAATCATTAATGAGTATTGTGTTAGGAAGCGTTTGTTTCAATGTCAATAATTTAGCTAGCGGAAATAAGATAGTTACCGGATACCCGTTCGATTTCTTATTTTGGATTCATTTCATTGTATCTAATTTTATCGACATATTGACTCAAGGACGTTTTACATTTCATGTGCGCATATGGCACATATTAGAGCCAAATGATTACCTGCACTGCAGCATAGCCCAAAACACCCCCGAGTTCCTGGAGATAGTGTCCGCATCGCTGTTGAGAGTGAGATAGTTGCCCTGCCCTGTCCATATTGCAGCCGCGCCCGCGCCAATAAGCACGCTCGCTGCGTACAACAACCACGTACGTGGGAACAAAAATGAAACAATGAAGAATCTGTAACAAGAGATGTATCCCATAGTAAAGCATTGAATTTTTTCACTTATCCATTAAAACATGTATTTTAAGGTACACATATTATATAATCTTATCATTAGGTGACAAAGTTGTTGCTCAATTCACGGTAGCAATAAGATAAATATAAATGTACAACCGTATCCAGAGATCAAAGAAAGGGCAAGCCGGACAATAGCCCATAGCAGCTAAAATAAGTGCCGGCAAAATCAGGGTGGCAGGTCGAAGAAAGGAAAGTGGGTATCCACCCGATACCCACTTTCTTCTCTGGGGTAAAAAATATTATAAGGTACAAAATTACCACGCGTAGTGTACCAAAGTTTTTTTTTTTTAAATGACTCATGTTCAGAAGCATCAGTAGTAGATAGATAAACATATATGAATATTGTACATCTCCCTCCAACACCTTGTTATTATTTTCTATCTCTGTGATCATGACATTTACTGGAATATTACTTTGGTCACAGCGGCTAAGTAACTGGATTGGGTCCTGACTGTATTTTAGGATTCAAGGATTCTTGAACAAAAATGACACTTTCATTCCCGGACATACGTGGAACTATAGATGGAAATTTAGAAAGATCCAGCTTCTAAATCCACGGTATCAATCAAAAGTTTGCCATTTTATTTGTTGCACTGTGGTTGCATAGATATCGATGCACCTATACGCTAGTAAAACAGTAAAGTTAATTTTGTCTTTTAATACGATTTTTTGCATTAGAAAGACATTTTTGACTTTCTTTAACCAATTCATGAAAATTTTCCGAGGTGTATGATACGGTTGCATATAAGTACAATAAGTAAGTGTGTACGGAACCTTAGAACATGAGTCAGATATGCATTGGGCCAGTTTTGTATTTGTAGTAAAATTACTTAAACGAATACTTTCTCAAACTTAGCCTTTACAAAAACGTCACCAAAGTGAGCATAAATTTCACATTTTATTTTAACAGTACTTTAGTGAAACGCAACACGCAACGATGTGTATATGTTAAAAGATTTTGTACAAATGTCATAAAACGAATACCATAAATAAACTATAACTAAACCTCCTTGACCCTACTGTCTTATATGTGTTTTTATGATCCTGTTCAAAGTATCGATATTTCCATTCTCACCCAATGAGCTGAATGTATCGACTATGTTAATCGAATACACGACTTTGCAACAAATGAAGGCGTTAATATTAATAATAACGAAATGTCATATTATATTGTCATCACCCTATCCACAAAGTGTATTTATAAAAACAAAAATAGAACCGATGGATGACCTAATGACATAGCAAATTATTTTGATTTTAACATTCAAGATGTAGAACACGCTAATGGACTCGCAGTAATTGTTTTTAACGAATAATATACCTAACCGGGTAAACGAGTTAATTACTAAACTTCAAAAATCATGTTACACTGTTCAACAAAGCGTCATCATTATCACAGTCCTACGTAACGAGGCAGCAATTAAAATAGACGCAATAAATAACACACGCGATATGAAAAGTGAAATGTCTTTAGTAGGTGTGTCCAACAATACCAAACAGCCTTGGAAATAAAACGAAGGTTATTATCTAAAAGAAAATAGATTGATACAGTATCAATAGTAAACGGCATCGGGTTGAATAATGTACGAAGATGTGGGAATTATAATCGTTTAATAAATAGTACGAGTCATAAATGGGACCATAAACAATCTGTAGTAAAGGCGGAATCAGGAAATCGTAATCAATGTTACACTGTTTTATGTCAAATAGCTTATTTACTTACGTACTTAAACGTACAGTCAATTCATCTGTGTTCAAATCAAGATTGCGTGATATTATCTATGTTTTGTATTTAAAAATGGTATCTCTTCTTCTTTGTTTCCGTTTGCTACTACAAATGTTATTATAATGCAAGCAGTGTCACCAAAATAACGGATGGTGCATTGGCGAACGTTCTGTTCAAGAACTTATTAGTTAAACACAACTGAGTGTGTTACATTAACAAACATATAAAATTGGTTACGCTCGTAAAACTTTGGAGCTGAGTCTTAAAATTCTACCTTCATTGCCTTGTCCTCTTTAACTTATAATAAAAAATATAATAAAAATTCCAACGCCATAAAATAAACAGCGAAAGTTTTACGTCTCCGTAATAGTTTGTTTCATCTACTATTGTTAACAATTATTTGAAATGGCTCCGATAACGATTTAATTGAGATAATAATTACATTTAATTACATAAACTGTCACGTAGATTGTTTTGGGTTGGTAATTTTATGTGCATAATTGACATAATAGCATTGAAAACTGGACCATCATAGATGAGCAAAATGTAATCAAATTATTTGTACTCGAGACTTAAATTGTAATTTTCATTCATTGTTGCAAACAACATGTAATCGTTGTCTTCTATAATTGAATAGTCGTTTAATAATATACGGTGCTCAACTTTTAATATAAAGTGTCAATTTAATCTTTACGTAAAGTACCTATACTAATATTATAAACAGGCAAGATTAAATTGTTTGTTTGTTTGCATTGAGAAGACTTCGAAAACTGCTGGACGGATTTTAAAAATCTTTTCACCGACGGGAGTATTATCATCTATCTAACGGGGGTAACATAGGTGTGTCGCGGGAAAATATCTAGTATATCATAAAGGTGATTGAATATTACTTCTACTTATAGTAATCTTTAATCCAAAGCCTCGGCCTATGTATGTAATGGATATTCACTTAAAATTTATCCATTTATTTATATGGGTGAAGTTCCCATGTAGATTTAATGCTCTCACTTTAAATAATGAATTTATTATAATATGTAACAGTCATGTAACAAAATAGTGAAATTACCGTGGTACGTGTACATATACGTGGTACGTGTAAGAAGTGGTACAATAGAGGCTTAATATTATCTTCACAAGACGATGATAATATCTTACGGCCTTATGATTCTACTTGTGCGGAGTGTAAAGCCACAAAAGAGCGAGTGTTTTATAATAATTAAAAAAAAACAATAGTACTGTTGAAATCACTCAATTTTTTTCAGATAAACGACTAATATTTTGATGTAATTATGGACAAAAAAAAAACGGTACTTTAAAATGTACTTTCATAATTATATTTCTAATTTTAAAGTCATAGAGCAGTCAGATGATTTTTATTTCAAATAAAAACACAAGAAAACTACATATAAATCTTAGGAACACAACTCTAATGTAATTTGAACTAAAGTGGAGCTCGAAGACGCTATTGTTAACTCTTTCTATTGCTTTTGTCTTTCGCCACCATCTTCATCTTTTTTTCTTAATTTTCAGCTTTTTTTTGTAATTATATCTTCATTTCTTTATATATGGACTAGAATATGTCACCTACACATCGACGGTTTGAAAAAATGTAACTGTCTGACCCACACTTACTGTTGTTATGTAAGCATTGCAAACTTAGGTTGATTTGCGAAAAGCCGCAATGTGGGCCAATGTTGACATGCCTTCATATTAACCAAATACCATTTTCATTATAGCACAACACCACTAATAAATGTGCGGTCAGCAAGGACGGCCGGTCAACTAAAGTTACATTAGAAAATAAAGAGTCAATGTCTCATTCAGTACGTGCTATGTTTTCCGTAAGCATTTTACAATAATATGTTAGTTGTTCTTTTGTTATTTCGCGTTTTATTATTACAATAACCGTTTTGCCAGTTTACAAAATCACATTGTTAACAAAAAAAATCTTAAGATCAAAGGTCATTAATATTTATTGGAGGACTACTAATAAACATACAAACGTTCAAGTATATTACAAGTATCAAATTAATTGACCGCACATATAGCAAGCTGTGTAAATTTCTCTACAATATAAAATATGAGGAAAGTTTCAGTCAAATGTTTATTATTTCTGTTTATACGTACTTACGTGACAAGTTTCTTCAATTAACATCCATTGTCCATTACGACAAGGAAGTCGTTTCAAGACCCTCCTATTTATTTATTTACTCACGTTGACTAACGCCATTCTCATGGCGACTTAAGAGGCAAATTAGACTACTCAGGAACAAATCATTGAGAACAATCCCACCTTCTTATATATGATAGTGAGAAACCTCCCCAAATCAGGGCGACTAATTCATTTATTTTAAATGAAGACTAGATCCGCCTTTGACGTGGAGGAAATGGGAAAAGACTATAAATATAGTGACGATAAAAAGTAGTACTATTTCCCCAAGTTATATTATATTACATTATTAAGCTTATTAGTATAAGCCACTACTAATAAGTTTCATAATGTAATAAATTCATAAGTTATAATAGTTAAATATATAAATAAAAAGTAACTACTAAAGACGACACCACATCATACTGCACACATTTAAATCGAAAACAATAAATTAAAAAGGAAATCTTCATTGAACCCAAACAAAATGTAATCATAATTAATCTTTAACAGCACAAATGAAGTCACAGAGGCTTAAATACAAAAGCACAATAAATAATAAAGTAAAATTAATAGATACTTACAAATATGTGAAAGCACCAATAAGCATAGCGCCTCTAGGGCCCGTAATAGTGATAGCAGAGGGTGCCATCCAATTGCATATGGCCAAAGTTGCGTATATGATGGCCAGTGAAGTGTATCCGTCACCGGTGAACGACGAATCATCTTGTGATATACTATCCAATATTGTTTTCTAGAACAAAATATATTTACATGAACATAAATCGGAAATTACAAAAACCTTTTAAAGCTATATTTATATATTGCAAGAATATGATGAAATCATAGATTTAACCAAATCCCTAAGGAATATGATCAAATAACGCGAAATGTTAAAAATACATCTCGAACGAAATAACTGACGAAATGTCACTTGAATGCGCCATTAAATAACTATGTACTTGTTATCATAAATAAATATTTTATATAACATATAAGAAATAGACCATATATATTAAGTTGACCTTGTTACACTTCGGAAAATATGAATAGTTCAAGAACAAAAACGATTGTTCATCCACTTCACCTTTACGATATCGGTATCATCATCATAAATGTCAGTTATTCAAAATATTTAAGTAGATACAGTCAATGTAAGACACATAGATCGAAAAATCTATAGTAGACAAACGATCAGAATAGTTAAATATACGCAAATAGAATATTTTTATTGTTGTAAACATTCAAAGCGGTCGACCTATGTTATCAACAGTTCCTACTATAATGTAAGTTGTCAGGATGTTATTATGTCCGAATAAAACATTCATCGATATCGACGCAAGCGTAGTGGTCATAGTACTTTAGAGCTGGAAAACGACATATTTTGAATAGCTAGGATGCTCCAAACAGTGAACTTTGACCTATGGAGCTCGACAGATAATTTTGGCGACTTGATCTGATAGTGCAAACAGAATTTATTATTAAAAAAAAAACAGTTCATATGAAGATATGTCTTAAATGTCACACGGAAAAAAATAGACTGTACCAGTATGTTTTTTTGGCAAAATGTTTCCTCAATGCCTACGTGTTTTAATTATCGCAGGAAAGAAATTCGATGCATACAACCAGTTACAATTTCAAACTTGAGTACAGCTATGAAATGCATTATATTCGGTGCAGATCTAACAGAAGATCTGTCAACTGTTTTGCGGAAGTATAACATAGTGGTCATAATCATAACATACATTTTGCCAGTTCTGACATTCCACAACGAGACGCGATTCATCGTCGTATACGATGACCCTAAATGCATATTTATGATGTTGCTAGATTCATAATACTTTGAAAGTCTCAATATACAAATAGGAAGAAAATATCTCTGCATTTAGTAGCAAACTCAGTTAATAAATCTGAAATACAGCAAACTTTATGTCCTGTCCACTTAATAAATCTCAACAAATGTCCTTGACTTATGCAACTTGAAGCGCAAAATGTTGAATCAATTCGGTTCTGGTGAAATCATCCAGTCAAAGCACTTAAAGAGATAATAAAAAGCCTTATCGGTACAAACCATATTTTTTACATTTTAATGGACACGTAGACATAAGTAATGGATAAGGACAACCTTTGCATATGGAACTCAGAAATTATGACAATTGCCCTGACCCAAGATAACATAAGACATTGATCGGATCTTTGACTGTAACTTGATATTTCAGATCAGCGAATTCGATAAGGGTCCAAAACTGTTCCACTAATCTATGGATAAGCCAGCAATAAATTTCACACAGTAATAACTTAAAGCTTTTGTGTTAATTTGCCACTCGCATTACTTAGAGTTGCCGTCTTTACTGTTTTAACAGTAGATTTACTTATTATTTTTTAAACATTACTCTCTTAATCGAAAGTTTAAAACATTTGTAAAAATGTGAGTGGATTAACTGAAATTCAAGATAATACGCTCACCAGTATCAAAAGTAACGAGTGCTTGACAAATTCGTCAGTTCCGATGGGTGACCGGTAGCTCAATTATTAGAGCAGTTGCCCGAATTGCGTTTGTGTCCCACCTCGGGATACCTGGGACTTGTGGAATTTTAAGCATTTTTCTTTAAGGTAAGTAAATTAACTGCTCCGTTTTGTGTTTCTGACAATATTTCTACTGTCTTTTTCGCTTTGGACTATTTTAATTTGCAGTATTCATGCTATGATATTATAGTTATTTTGTCTACGTGTAGATTGCGGAAATTCGGTATTCTCCGTTATCCCCAGCCTTAGCCACAGTAGAGTCAAGACGAGCTAACTTTTTTTCCTTGATAACAAGGATATTTTACTCTAAAATTATTTGCACCCTATACCTAACCGATATGATTTCAAAAAAGCGAAAATCTTGAGCCATGCTTTGAGATTGCCGTATAAACTGCCTAAGACGAATATTTATTAGTGCCTTGTTGTTTTGAGGTAAGAAACCCAAAAATGAGCGACAAAATAGATATTGTCATTAATAAATAGGTGTCGATCAATTAAAGGTTCAATTCACTTCATATCTATTTACATTATTGAAATAAAGTTGTTACTTTCACTTCTGATGTCAAACAAGATTCTCATACGTTGTTCATTTTTCGACAAAGCATCAATAACATTGTGTAATAAAATATAGGCGTTATTTTGTAAATTTTCTTTATATATATTATAGTTGATTTCACTTTTATTATTATTATTGGAAATATCTCCAATACCAAATAACTTAAAGATTATTGAAGACAATAATCCATTTGTTAAAGCAACATCACAGATAATATAATACATAAGATAAGTCGTGACAATAGCATTAACGTTAAAACAATTTCGTAACTTTTAATGCCTTCGATACGATTGCGTGAGTCGGTAAACCGTAAAAGTCCGACGACAACGAAATAAATCTGATTTTGGAAAATAACATTTGTATTTTATTAAAGAAAAAACATCAATACAATATTTCTTAAGACATCCAATTTGGGGGTGAACGTGTTCTGATCGGTTCTGATATTACTAAATCAGTGATACTGGGTCATATCAATATTGTTTTGTGCTATGCAATCTCTAAAACTTTACATTTAGTTTCTATATTCTATTTCCATTAATTAATTAAATTTGGAGAGAAACCGTTTCATATCTAATGCTATTTTGGACACGAATTAAACAAAGGTTGACTACTCTTATCTCGTTTGAGTGTGATCTCAAAACTGGATATAGAATACGAGTTTTTATTGTTATTGAATCACGTTTTAGTGCACTTGATTATTCGTCTGACGCTATGACCTTTTCTTCAAAACTTCAAAATTCGTTATAAATGACTAAGTTGAAACCATTACCGTCAAATCCATATTCACTCTTTATGGGCCATTCTTCGTTATTAAAGTACATGTCAAAATAGTAAAATGAAACGGCATAGCGCTATAACATCGTCTATATGTCGTATCCTGTAGCTAGTTATGGTTAGAGAAGTTAGGCGATCGCTCTGTATGTAACTCAATGAAAGCAGTTTTGAATCGTTCAAAATTGTTATCAACCACCAAATTTGATTACGTATGTGAACGCAATCGAGTATGTTAAAGCGCACCTGTCGAAGACCAAAGCTCGTTAGAAACTGTAGCCCAATAACCTTTTTTTTGCCAATGACCGTTGCTCTACCGACGTCCGATGCCTTGAATACATATCAGCATAACAGGTTGACCCAATTTAAATGGAAATTAATCCTTGAATTTATCTAATGAATATAAACAAGATAGATAAATTAATCAAGTCCGTTGTGATGTAAAATAAATCGGGTTCTAAACTGAGTAACGTTTATTTTGTCTCCCTATGCCTATCCCTTGCCGTAAGCGTATCATTGAAAGCGGCGTGTGAAAGAGGTTCATCTCGACTGAAATAAGTTGCAAAGTAAAATTGCAACAAAAATCAACTCGTTGAACAAATTTATATTTTCTCTGCAAAAAAAAAATTGCCTCTAAAATCCCCCAAAATTCCTCACTAGAGGGAAGTATTGATAAATATATGAGTCACTATCAAGGCCAGAGTTATTTAATGGGGTTCTGAACGGGCAATATTTTTCGTCAAATAGTGCCTGCAATACAGTGGCCAGTCAGGTTGTGCAAAATATTGCAGTTGCAAATATTTTTGATACATCCGGTATCGTTTTGAAAGAACTGACAGCTAAAAAACATGCCAATAAGTTAACGGTAGTGCCGCTAGTATTTAGATACCCCTTTTTCTCAACAGCTTTTAGCACCTTCCTAATAAACGTTTAATTATAAATTAATAACTAATCTTCTTGAAGAATTAGTGCGTAAATGATACAACTCGTGTTTCCAAAAGAGGACTAGTGTAGCTTAACCATGTCTTTTTAGCTGTTAATTATTTAATCGTTTATCCAAGTAAAATTAGCTTTATTGTCATGAACACTTCTTCATTAGTTCATACCTACGCAATGTGTTTTGATTATGAATACAGTAGTCTACGAAGGCGAAAAGGTCTTTATGTATTATACAACAAAAACAATCATTTATATTGCGAATCTCGGTCGATGATCTCAATTTATGTTACATAACGTAATATCTTACGTGTCAATAAACTAGGTAAGTAATGCCGCTGTCAAAAGTCAAGACCGACACGGAACTTCAACAATAAGTGGTAATACAGTCAATGTTCAATTCATAAACTACTAGCTGTTTTCTCACAATTTCGCCAGCGTAAATTATAGAATGTCATCGGCGTATGATGTAGCTTCCGTAGGTGCTGGATTTTTTAATATCTGTCCAATAGTTACGGAACCTATTCAATATAAACCAAAAATCAATTCTTGCCTATTTATAATATTAATATGGATATATATATAATATAAATTAACTTTTATAGATTAAGAGCTCTATACTAATAAGTATCTGTATCTTTCAATACATTCGGCTCAACGCTAACGTAAGAACGTAACTTAAAAAATAAATAATTTAAAGAAAAACAAAAAGACCCGACTGCGTAAAAACGAATTTTAAAAAATACATGAATAAATTAACTTAAATAAAAACTTAAAAGAAAGAAACAAGCCCAGTGGTTTAGAATTCTGTTAAGTAATACAGAACAGAACGACACACAATCGGGGCCCCTTGGGAAGATTTGATTGGTAAAATTTGAATGGGCTTTAATTTTTTCAAGTATTTTTTAAAATTCCTTTTTACGCAGTCGGGTTTTTTTATTTTTCTTTAAATTATTTATTTTTATTTTATACTTTTTAGTTACGATTCGTTGAATTATAAGATGGCAAATATCGCAATCTAATCATTTCATTGAGCGAGTTAATATCGTGGGGATTATTAGGTAACTTGCGGTGCTCTCCCCTCGGACCGCGCAAGCACGCGTTTACACATTCTCTCATTCATACTTTTACTTACACCAATCACCTGCTCCATAATAGAATAAACACCGCACTAACACATATTATTAAAACTTTTATTACTACCCCCCTAATCAATTATTGTACACTCTTACTGTCCATATTATTTATGATGTGTTATTACTATTGAATCTTTAGCTTATTTTGACAGTTTTGTTATAAATAAATAAGTACTGTAACTTAGTGTAACTTTAGTGAATTGTAATGAGTATTTGTGAGGTGGAGGACTGACTACTTGTGATTCGGGGTTTACCCTAGTGCTGGTGTCAGTCCACCATAGTCGGCTATCTGATACATTGTTATTCCCATGTAATTCAAAGGATGATTATGGTGAGGATTAAATGATTATTATTATTATTATCTAAACTACTGATGATTAGTCCCTCTAGAGACCTAACTCGGCTCAAAGCTACAAATGCTTTATTTTTTTACCAAAAATATTTGTTCTTCATGCTTTTTCACTGTTTTTTTTTTTTGTTTGCTTATCGTTTATACTTTAAATAAAAACAATGTTTTGTTAAACAACTTTAAATCGTTATATATCCTAAACTATAATTTAAAAGGAAAAATGATAAAAGGAACCTAAAGATAATTTTCAAATATCTATTCAAGGACACCCCACTTGAAATAGTTCATCGATTTTTATTTTTTTCATTTTGACAATATGGCGTATGGTTGTCGCTGTGGTAAATTTTGATTACTGTCATGTCTTTAGTGACACTCGCAAGATTAAGACGAATCGATTGACGTAAGAATCATCAAAATCGGCCTACGCATTTGGTCTCTAGAACGCCACATAGAAACAAACATACATACATACGTAGACTTCGGGTCGGGTAATGAACTACTCTAGCATTTACGACATTATAAAGGATAATAATTTTCAGAGCAAAATAATCATGCTTTTTCCATACATAAAATATGTAATTTGGTCGTACCTAGTTTCGGTATTTCATATCATCATCGATATAGCATTGTGAATGCAAATTTGATCAAATATGAATAGCGATATGTTAATAAAGCGCAGTGACATGTGAATATTTACAGCATCAAACGCTCTGGCGAAATCTAACAAATAAAAAGACATTTTCCATCAGTTATTTTCCATCCAGTCACATATCTTCAAGGTAATCATTGTGGATGTACATAGTATACATTTTGGTTTTTAAAAGTTATTGACCTAACAGCCAGTTGCACAAACATCCATTAAAATTTACATTAGTTTAAAGCGACATTACCCATACAAATTTGACATTCATTAGAGCTTAAAGGCGTCATTAAACCTTAATGAATGTTTGTGCAACTACCTGTAAGAACAGTGCTTTTCTTTGTTTAAAAGTCCTATTACTAGCTACTTTCCTGCGAGTTTGGAGCTTATCGTAGGCGACTTTTAAAATCGATCCAGTAATTTTGGATTGATAGATAAATGTATACATACATTAAATTAAAAATGCAGTGCATGAATTTTTTTTATATGTTTTTGTTATAAATGTCGTGATTTCAACTACTACGTGAGGTTCATTGATGCATTCGAGTTTTTAGATGTATTTATGTTTGTTCACTTGGTACTTTGTGCGACTAGTCCACTCCACGCCTTCCTTGTTCAATGTAATGATATAGCGCGAGCATTTCCCGTTTGCAATGAAGACCAAGCTAGCTAATGATCAAAGTAAACTGCTCAAACTAGAAATCCTATCATTATCTAAATTAAAAGTAGATTAGTAACATATAGCTCATCTTCCTGTTTAACCAATCATTGTTGTTATTGGAATAATTTATCAAAGAATCAGAATGAGAAGCTAACACAGAACCTCCTTCCCAAGTTTATTTGACATTTATTGGTCATTGACACTTGTTGACGCCGGTATTATACTGATTAAATAAAATTTTTAAAGGTCGTGTTTTTATAATTTACTACCTATATCCGTCTTGGTATGTTATTTACTTTGGTGATTTTCCGAGCTCTCATAAAAAATGGTAAATTTTCATGTTAGCCCTATTTTTCTTTCGAGATTATAATAAAACCAAAACCAATCCTTTGTTTGGAATTTTTTCTGAGTAAGTAATAGACATGTTGCACTTGTCGCTTGTGTGCTTGAGGGGAACAAAACACCAGCCACATGCAAGTTGGATTCGCACACCTAGGGTTCCATTAAACCCAAAAAATAAAGGTAAAGGATTATTTTTGAAAATGTTATTCAAAATCTATATAGATGATTTTTGTAGTTTATTGTGTAAGTCCTATTTCGTGTTTTACAACCCTGTACCTGTATAGGAAAAAAAAACTATTTAATGTAGTTAATAAATTTTTTAATATGTAGTTAATAAAATTTATGTAGTTAATAAATTTTTCAAATAGCATTGAAAAACACATATGAATGGCACAAGGTTACAACTTGATTTATCAATTTGATAATATATCCATTTCTTAATGCAATTTTTATAGACATCACTAAATGGTGCCACTACTTAAAACATGAAAAATAAATTCGACATTTGCATAAATAGAAATATATATATTCATAACCAATGATTCTTTAAAACTAGCTTTCCACCATCAGCTTCACCCGCGTGGTTTTGTATTAGACATAAAAACCTTCCTTTTGAATCTATAAAAAAGACATCATCAAAATCCGTTGCATAGTTTTAAAGATATAAGCGTACATAGGGAAGAAACAGATAACAGAAAGCTACTTTATTTTATAGTATGTATTGATAGCTACATACTTGATTCAAAAAATGGAAGTATAATAAGTAACATAGTGTCATTTATATAGAAAATAATATTTAAAATTATTATTCTTATAAAGGTTTAATGGACAGGTTTAATGATGCCTTTGAGCTCTAATGGATGTCCAATTTGTATGAGTAATGTCGCGTTAAACTAAATAAAGTTTTAATTAACATATGTGCAACTGGTTGTTAAGCTATCAGAATTTGTACACACTAGTGTTTAACTATAATAAGAATTGGATTAAAGATATAAAGTTATTATGCACATATCCCATAAAAATAAAGACTTTTTCTAAAATAAATTATTGCTATTACACATTATAAATATTTTACGTCATAGGATTTTAATAAGTAATAAAAAACACCGAAATGTTATTGCGCTAAAACTCACCTCTATGTTTCCCATAGTTTGGAATGCAGTAAACACAAACATAAAACCGAAACCCAAAAGTATTACATTAATAAACTTTCGCTCCATTGTGTTATTTTCTTTTCTCAATAATAATAACTAATTTAAAGAAGTTAGATTTTAAATGAAAATAAAACGTAGTGATACACAACAACACCCCATGTAAACTTTAAGTCAACTGAATCGAATTTTTTTTACTTCGCGGCCGCGGTCTTTACATTGCATTCCATTCTCCGCTCTCCCTCCACTTGATTGGATTGTAGATATTCACGAGTCTAAAAAGATATTGATAATTTGTTGTGTACAAATACACGGATATTTTCATTGTCAAAATGACGTTTTTACTTGACTTGACAGTAGGGAAGTAGCACCATAGATGTAAGCACTATGTATTTGCTCGCTTCCATTGTAAATACTCTGTAAAAACTATTTTAAGCACTTTTTTAGAAGACATGCTCGTGGTCACAATAGGAAAATGTCTTATTGCCACTTGAAATAGATTGCGTTATGATCGGATTGGGAATAACCCTTTATTATGAATAGAAAAAGCAAATAATCAGGGTTAGAAAATAATGTCACAGATGACACAAATTTTTCTAAAATTTGGATTACTAATATATATTTCCTATTTGAGTTCAATAAGGAAGTATTATAAAAAAATAAAGAAACTACAAACAATTATTTCACTAGATGGCAGCACTAATTGTAGGATCTAAATGACAATTCATGACGTTAAACCAAAGAGATTAGAATTGTCAGTGTTATTACAATTTTCATTAGTTAAAGTGAGACAAAAACATTATTTGTTGTCCTTATCGACGTGCCGGTTTTTTTGTTTGGCACCAGGCTTGTTTGGCACCAAAACGTCAAGATTTTAGGCATAGAAATTGTTGGACTCAAATATATACAAAAAAAGTTGGAAAGAAGTGTATTTAAACAATGTTTTATACAATGTATAAAGTTTATATGTAAGAAACGTTACTTGCAAATTAAAATAATGGTTAAGTGCAGTGTTAAATCTTGCAAAAATAGATCCGAAAGAAATATTGTAGTTCTATCATATTTCAGGTAAGTTAGAAGAATTTTGTTTATTTCTTCGTAAGGTAAAATTTTTCAATGGCATAACCGATGTGAATTTTATTAAATACGACACAAAACAAGCTAAAAATATTATTAAATAAAGTCGAATAAGAATATAACCTCAAATCATTAAGGCTGACATCTAAGTGCTTAAAATCTCCCCTCAAAGTGCTTTAAAATTAAATTATCAATATTCTGTTAAAGAAATATCAAAATGTTTGAAACTCAACTATTTTCAAAGTACATAGAACTACAAAATGCGATTTAAAAAAACAATTGGGCAGTTTTTAAACTTTGTATTAAAATAAATCCAAGTTTGTAACCTAAAATATTAGCATTTAAAGCCTCTCAGTAAAGTTTTGCATGATACTATTAAAATACCGCTTAATTTACTGTAATGTAATGTTAAATTACATTTTCTAGACTTAATTGAATATCATTTCTGTATTTAGAATCACTAAAAATTGTGCTATGTATTTGGTTAGAAATGTTTGAGTTTATAGTAGATAATATAACTAATTTTATCAATAAATCTCGGCCAAATGTGTTTTTTTTCTTCATAAAATATTGTTATTCCATATGACAATCATATTATTATCAAAATGATGACCTCAATTTTCCAAATTAAACATTGATATAAAAAAAGTATTTTAGTTATTGTGTTTATATTTTAGATTTTCATCACATGAACATGAACTTCAAAATTGATTGATAAATGAAACTGAACTTCAAAATTGGATTGAAGCTTGCGGAAGACCAAATTGTAAGCCTTCAAGACATGCCAGGGTGTAATCAATGCATTTTGAAAAACATTTATTTTTAAATGTAGGAAGACAAACAACATTGAGTACATAATAAGGATTTTATTAAATAGATATAATAGTTAAATACTTATTATACAAGTGAGGTATTTTTGTTTCTTAATAAATCCACTTTTATAATACCTTCCTCAAAGGGATATACACAATGTAACAATAAGAATGGTAAGTATAGAAAAGTCTGAAACTATAAGATATTGTATGTTAGTATTATTTTGTTGGTTTCATACAATATTAATTAACCATGTAAAACCTTTTTAGATTGAGAATCTAAACTGGAATTTTTGAAAAATAAAATACACATAATTTATACTAGATACTGATAGTCTAAGTTTTAAACTTTTAATGTTATTATTAAATAAGAATTGCCTTCATTAAAAAAATCCTAATCTCTATACTCTATACTTGCTAGGAAATTTTAAATACTATGTCAGTTTAAATATTTGATTTGTTCGTGGAGTTATAGTTTTTTTGCACTTGTTAAGTAATTTTTATTTACCATGCCATAATTGTTGTATAAAAATATGAGATGTTCATAATTTAGTCGCAAATCGGTTATTATATATAGTGCTGAGTAGACAGAACCACAGATCATATTCTTCATAAATATCATAACTTATTTGTGCCATAATCTAATCTTCAAATATTATCTGTGCTATTCTTTTAGATATACACTGATTATGATTTGTTTGTATCTTTATAAATAGAAATGCTAGAAAATATATTGTGAAATAATATTTGTTATTATGTTTTTTAAGAATTCTTGTCTATGATTTAAGAGCATTATAAGCTCACTAAAATATGTTTTTTTTGTATTTTGTATTAAAATATAATAATTATGTATCATTTTACTGTATATTAACAGAATAGAATAGAAAATTCTTTATTGTTAACATTACACAAAGTTACATTTACAAATTTAAAACATTTTACAATATAATGTAACAATTGGCGGCCTTATCGCTTAAAGCGATTTCTTCCAGGCAACCATGGGATGGAAAGAGAGATAAAAATTTATGATGACGGGGGTGTAAATGTTATCAATTACATTAAAAAGAAAAAAAATGTTCAAAAATATGTAGTGAATACATTCATAATACAAATATATCCGATAAATACGTAATATACATACACACTACGTAATATACATACTCGGTAGTAGCAAGATATTATATTGTGAAAGGTAGAATTCCTTTACGCTATTTTTTAAAATTTGCAAAGATTTCGCTCGCCTTATCGAAACTGGAAGGGAATTCCAGAGACGAGCAGCTTGTACAGTGAAAGAAGAATCGTAAAAAGAAGTACAGTGAGATGGAATCTCAAGACTCAGGCTCTCGGATGATCGCAATGTGTAAGAATTTGTGCAGTGCAGGAAACTGAAACGTTCTTTGAGATAATGAGGGTAAGTGGGATTGAACAAAATATTGTAGAGAAGAGATAATATTCGAGAATTCCGGCGAAGTCGTATAGGAAGCCACTTGAGTTCACTGCGATAGTTGGAAACATGGTCATATTTGCGCAAACCAAATATGAATCGAATACTTATTTAGATTAATTACTCTGGTGTACTTGCTGCAGTTAAGTAGACAATTTATTTACTTTTTGTGATCGAGTAAGTTTATTTTAACTTATAAGTAGCATAATTGCTATTTTCAATATGTGATTAATACATGTGATATATCTAATTATTTGTAAAATTTTTGTGGAAACGAAGTAAAATGCTTTTTATTTTAGTACCCTCTTTGATTTCACCCAACCTGTAACTTTATTTAATATTGGTTTAGTAATTGATAATTATTTTCATTATAATTATTAATTGATTTTTCTAATAAGTCATAGCTCTTAATAAATCACACACACTCAACAGCGTACATCGGCAGAATAAATTAAAATAGGTCTGCAGGTGTAATGATTTACACTAATTTTTATTATAAAAAAACCAAAAATGTTGAAAATTAACTTTCCTTTATTGTCTGGGGTCTGGGAGTTCTGAGTATTATGGTACCTTTGTTGTCACAGATACTCCAAAATACGGGGTTTAGTACTCCAAAATATACATCTTACAATATGAGCCATGTATGTGATGTTGAATGTTTATTTATCTATACTTAATATTATAAAAATTAAAGGTTTTATTGTTTATTTTTTACACCGAATAGGCTCCGAAACCACTGGACCGATTATTATATTTGATCAATCTCAAACTACCAGAGACAAAGTGGTTTTTTAAGCATTTTTATTAAGATTACTGAACCGATTTTAAAAACTCTTTCACATACGGGTAGCTACACCATACGCAGTTGACATAGGCTACAGTTTACACAAGCGATGTCGCGTGACAATAGCTATTTTATAGATATTCTAGTTTGAGATAAGAAATCTTCTGGGACTGGTTCTAGAATTTGAGTGAAGTATCGTGGTGGACTAACGAAAACCGTCAAGTCTCTTTATGAAATCGACCAGGATAACGGATACGACGGCAGTGGTGCACAAACGTTCATACCTCGAAAACACTAATACGTGCTCTGCTAATACTGTCTTGAAGTAATGAAATCCAGAATCTGAGTAATTACTGATCAAAGTCAAATATCTCTGCAGGCTTACATATTTGTTTTCGATCAATAATTATTTAGATTCTGGATATCTATTTATTAGTATTTCGTCACTAAATATGAGACTAAAATATTCGATTGGATTAGTCAGAATGATAAAATACTTTGTGGTTACTAAGATCTACTAAATATCAACCTGTGTCAATAGTTTCAATGTTTTATTTCAATCTAAAATAACCTAAGGTTTTAAAAAATGGTCTTTCTAACAGCTATTGAGTAAACATACAGTGGCGCTGCTGGACTGACGTTAGCCCAACATCATCACAATGTTTCTTATTTGCCTTTCTAAACATAATTTTATAATTGAATAGGTACGTTATTCTCCTTTAAACGGTTTTCTTTATTGTCTATATATATATTTTTTTAATTTTGGTTGAATTAAATTTTCGAAATAGTTTTGTTTGTCTAAATAAGACTTTTTTGAGCATATTCTAATTTAGTAAAATTTAATTTTGTTTCGAAAACTTCAGCAACCAAGCCCATTGATTCAATGTGCTAGTTAATTTAAGATGATACATAGTGTATCAATATTTCTACAAAAAAAAGTTGCTCTATTACTAATCCTTTCATCCATGGGAAGTTACATCATACGTGGTTGACTACAGCTATAATTTGGTGAAATCGCAGAAAAGTAGATAGTTTCTGAACATTTCTACATATTATGCTGACTAAATTATTCCTCCTTTGCTAATAACAAAATATCTCCCCATAATCGAGGAACATTTAACTATCTAGTAACACTGATGATTTATTTGTTGTCCCTTACGGTGGCACGCCTAATAGCCCTCTATAAGGTTCGAGCTACGCAAACGCAACTCGATTAATACGAACTAATCCTAGAATAAATTTATTTTTATTTGTATAAAGAAAAATGGAAGCTAACATAATGGAAGTGAGCATATTGAAGGTTTTTTTTTTTAAGTTATGGAAATCAATGGAATTAGTGCTGTGAAATTATTAAATTGGCATTTAGCTACGGTATACAATAGTATTACTTTGGAATCGTTTTATAAATAAAAAACTTATGCCATAGTAGGTCTAAGAATTTTACATTATAATATTTAACAAAAGTTCTGAAAACAGTAACAACTAGGTAAGTTAGTTTTGTTGCTATTAATCGTTTGTTGAACTTATAGCAACAAAACCACCTCAAGTTTCAATCACATGTTTATACTCGGTGGAACAGAACGACCGACACTCCCGAGGTTCTTGGAGAGTACTATTTGTCTTTAATATGAAATAAAAAAAAATTATAAGTGTAGGTCAAATAGTTTCAGAGATATTAAATTACAAAGTTTTTGAAAAAAAATGAGTGTTTTCAACCCTGAGTCAGCTGTTTTTGGGACGTACTAAGGAAAAGTTTTTAATCAGTCATTGACTTCTTCATTTCTAAAAACGAAATAAACTAGTTTGTGATTTATAAGACTATTATAATTCTACCAGACAATCAATAAACAAGGCAGTCAAAATGCTTAAATCGATTTACAGACTAACAGCCGGTTTCTGATTTGAAAAAAGTAGAAAATTTCTACTGCTTATTCTCAATAATCTAAGTTTTTTTAATTTCACAAGTCAAATAGTCCTAGTTTTATCAAACTGCTATCAACTGATCATCAAAAAACTAAAATCGTAAACGAAAACTAAGTGACTCAATTAAGAAACCGAGTGTAAAATTTCCTAAATTATTGTAGAGAGATCAGTCTAATATTAACCTACGTTATTATAAAAGAGCAGTTCACCAAAAAAAATTTTTGAATGGGGTAATACTTTTTTAACAACGGGATCGTTAATTAAACTCGATAAACTCACAAATCTTCCAGCGATTCATCATTAACACAAATGAATTTTGTTTTAAAAACATTGAGGAATTTGTTATTAAAAAAGCATTTAAAAAGAACATTAAAAAATGCGTGATATCAAAAAACGAATAAAAAAAATGTGAACCGAGTCCGTCCCTCGATATCAAAGCCCCACCCGAGCGCCAGCCGCCAGGCGGCTTCATTATTCTGTTGGTATTTTCCGGCCGATCAGTCGCCGCCGACCTTTTGCGCTGGAGTGTTGTTGCGCATCGCCGCCGACGCACCGCTGCGAAGCGTCTTTTTTGTCGATTTTTGTTTTGTTCTAATGCATTTTTAATTGAATTTTTGTTAATAAGAGTGTTCGTCTTGTGTGTTAAGTTTAGTTTAGTGAAGATTATGTTTGGTTTAGTGTGAAATGTGATGTGTTTTGCACGTGCATGCACCGGCATTGAAAAGAGCGTGCTTAGCTCAGTCTTCAGAGAGAAAGTGGACATTTTCAGCATCGACTATCATTAAGATATCGGTAAATAATTAAATTTAATTAATGTATTTCGCGGTTCATTGTAATCTGCACACAATCGATATTGCGCATGCGCGTTATAGGGCTGTCAACACTTAGAAATTTAAAATTTTTACTCCATTTTTACACCTCCTCTATTTTGAAATATTTGTCAAATAAAATGAACGTTTGCATGTAACCTAACTTGAAACTTTCGGCTGTGTCGGTCATTTTGTTCCTCCAAGTATTATGTGTGGTGAATGAATGAAAAGGGTTTATTAATTAGCAATAAAGGTCATAAAAACGATAATTATAATAAAAAATCCGTTTAATATCTATGTATTTACCCGATATGTATCAAGTTGACTGGGTATTCGTACATAATAACATTGCTTCTGGGTAGAATGACGTTTGTGCAAAGTATAACATGCAAATAAGTTTTCCTTTCAAATTTAAGAATAAAAAAACTATGAACAGTTATTAAATCTTATGTCCATAATTAAATCATCTTAATAAAAATTCAGCAATCAATAAGAAACGTCCGTTCGAAAAGAACAGCAAGATTTAAACTTTAAATTTCAAAATCCCAAAGACACGTACAGTTATTATATACACGTAGTATAGCTACTGAACTTGCATGTTGACTGCGGACATCGAGCCAGGTGTTATGTTCATTTGTACGGTGAGTATGTGCTTTTTTTATTCTTACAATAATAGATTAACATTCCACTCAACCTACTCTAGAAATCATTTTTATTGAAATATATTACTCATGAAGTACCTAGAGTAGTCATGCTCTCTTAAAAATCTCTGCGGTGGTATCGTGTGCGTCGGGTTGTTAAGTTCCGTCAAATACATATAGATGAGCGAAGCGATGACTGACTCATGTGTCAACCTTATCAACGGGTGCCAGAGGGGGTGAGTCTGCACTGGTCTACTTAATTTTGTCCATTTTCTTTTGTATATTGATTTGTCAATGAGTATGTAAGATTTCTGGTTTTATAATGAAAAGTGACTTGGTAGTCTTATTAAGTCACATTCCAATAAGACTTCTCTGTGTGAAATAAAACAGGGAAAAAAGTTGCTCTCGCGTTTCTTGCCGGTTCTTCTCAATAGAAGATCTCCCGCCTTGGTTTTGCGAACCGTTAGTAAAGTTTTCGACTTTCACAAGTGCTATGTAACAGCCTAGATTGAATTGATTTTGATATTTATATTAATATAATTCGACGTGTGGAAGCATAATGGTACATATGGAAATATAGCACATAAAAACAAGCTAAATTCAACGCTCCGCTTTTTGTTCTTGATTCCAAGTCTGAATTCGGATGAAACGAGTCAATTGAGGTTACGATCAACCAATAAGTTGGCTCATCACTAATGTTGACATCTAAACCAATCATCGTTCCTTTACACGTAACATAATAAATAACTTAAACTTACGATTCAAATAAAATAAAATTAATTTGAAAATTAGATATTTTAAGAAACACGAAACGATGTCATATTTGTTAATTTATGATACTCAATTTACTTTTATTACGTTAGAAAAAAATATCATAGACAAGATCCAAACATCGCTAGTGACATCTAGTTTGAGTTTAAAGAACTAATATTTTTTTTTAAATACTTCCTCATTTGATATGAGGTAACGATATATCATATTTTTGTAATCGATATATATCGGTTTTCTGGTATATTGTTGCATCCCTAGGTAATGTTAACGACTAGTATGCTTATTATATGTGAATTGAGGAGCATTTTTTGTACTTTGTTGGCGGGAGTTGAATGAGTATTGAAGTGAAAAACGAAAAACTAACACAAACGACTTAGTTTTTGTTGCTTCACATTTTTGGAATGTATTGCGTATCTAGACAAATTAATATATTTGTAACGGTGCTATTAATAAACAAAGTTAAGCGCCAGAGTAAATTTGCGCTAAAATAGCAGTTTTTGTATTGGTCCAAATTCATATTGTACAGAGAATAAGTCAACCTACTACCTTCCAGGAGAAAACATTACTCCCGTAGAACCTCATTAAAATTCTCTAAGTATCCGTATAATAATTTAAATTTTACTAATACTAAGAATAGTCTCAGCGTAAATTTATTTCAACGCTAAACCAAGTTTATTGATTGCACCGTGAGTTAGCAATCTTAGAGTAAATAGGTATAAGCAAGCTATATATACATATATATATATATATAATATATATATATATATATATATATATATATATATATACTAAGTTAACAACATACCCAATATCACATTATGAAATAATGTTGGAAAATTGTTTGGAACTGTTACAATTTATACTAATATTTACTCATGATCACAGAACAATACACTATAACACTCTACGCGCGTGATTTGCTCTTTGGAACTAAATGTTCTGTCTGTGCTGTGTTTCTGTGATTTTTATTTTCTTTCGGAAGATATTTTAGAAATGCTGTTTTGCTAAATTATTTGTGGATATCTATTGTTGACTATTATTAAAAATGAATAATGGGAATGCAGTGCCTTAATGGAAAATATTTTAAGAAATTCTAATAGTTTCGTTGAGTTTTTAGTCCTTCCCCGAGGATGATCTCATTGGCGTGCTGACATTACGTTCTTTTTAGAGATCTTGATCGTTTTATTATTTCACTGCAAACCAAGTCCAATGACCTTGTAATTTTTGATAAATAATCGAAAGCCAATAACCAAAATGAAGAAACAATTTTATAGAGTGAAGCAACTTGCGGATCAAACGTTTTCAAGGTAGGTAAATTAAATTGTGTTTTTATCTGACTGATAAGATTTCTCTGTCCTTTGAGGCTCAAAAAATATTGTCACTTTAGGCTACACCCAGAATGTTTTATATTTATTAAATATAGTATATTACATTAATCCCATTCAGTTTCTTTTCTTTAATTCTATAATCTAAAACAGGTCCATGTTGAATTATAATGAAACTTAAAATTCTATTGAAATTCAGAGCACATACCCTATTAGTACTAGATATTATAAGTTGCTGTGATAACTCTGTATGCTAAGAAATTAAAGTGTTATAAGCTAATTGCTTCATTAATTTAATAAATGATTTTTCTCATCAATACATTTTTGGTATTAGGATACTGAGTTAACATATCTTATCAAACATAGTCATTTTTATCTTTAATTGTAATGTATGAGTTGTTTACACATATGTACTTTTACTTACATAGCTCTTGGATTTCTACAGAGATCAATTTAAGATTTTTGAACTAATATCCTATTTTCAATTCAGATTTTGCATTTTTGCTGATTTTGCATACACTAATAGTGTTAAGATGTCAGTTGAAAAAATTCACTGACAATATATGATCTCAATAAACAAATCTCAAAAAGTTTCTACAAGAAGTTATCATTTTAGGACTATAAATAAATTTTCTAATTATTGTAGTTTAGCTTTCTTTTCTCTTAAAATTGTTATCCAATGATAATTGTTAAGAGTTTTAAAGTTTAAATGAAACATGTAAGACATGCACTAAATGAAAATGACAGTGAAAACACAAGTATTAGAGAAATAGAACCACTGGGTAGGTTTAAAAGTTCTTCAAAGTGTCTATATTGAATAGATACATGGAATCTGTGGATAGACTAATATTTGAAATACAGTAAAATTCTTTTGTGCAAGTTGAGCAACAAACTATTTTCTGTGTCACAAAACAGCCTTGGCAAACTAACAGTTTTTATACTTAAAAAAGTTTAATACCTGAAATATCTGACATTTATAAATGAATGTCAGATATTTCAGGCACTCAAATAGTTGAGTAATATTGTATACCATAAATATAATTCAAATTTATTTCTACCCTCAAAAATTATTTATTATAAAAAAAACTACCAAACCATTTAATTGTACATATGGCTGTTTTAATTGAATTTCTTTTAACCACACTTTTATGTAGTTGTACTTGAATCAGTGACATTTTTTTAATAAAACATCTGTTATTGCAGTAGCTATGTTAATCAAAAAATATTGATATTGTTCTGATAAACAGCATCAGCATGCAATTTTAATAAGAATTTACTTTTAATCGATATTCAACTAATATTGTCTAGCTGTAGTGTTTAATTTAGTGTTTGGCTATTGGGTCAATCAATTGTTTTAACAATGTTGCCAACTTTTATTACATATCATTTACATAAATCTTAAATCAATATAATAAGCAGTCACCCAGATTGTGAAAGGTTGTGGGTTCGAAACCCATCTCAGAGTACCAGATAGAAAGTGCATTTTTAAGCATTTTTCATCAAGTTAATAAATATTCTTAGATCGTTATTATTAACATTTTCATCAATGTCAGTATTATTATCTGTCAATGCTCCAGTTGCATAGAAGAAATCTATAATAAAATATTAGTATGGTTTTGTTATAATAAAGAGGAGAGATTCAATTGTTTGTTTGTATTAAATAGGCTTCAAAACTACCCAGGAGCGTGCACAGAGGTTTGGGGTAGAGCATGAAGCGTGTATATTTGAAAAAACTTGCCAATTTTCAGCATAGTTTTAGCAGCTTGTAATGAACAATCCCTTAATAAATTAAATCAATGTGCCTATATTTTCTTTAATTGATACTTAATTCAGTAAAACATTGTCGTAAAAATTACAAGGTTTTTTAAGCAAGAAAATCGTTGTTCAGTTGATGAGCTACTTCTATAAATTATTTGTATGCTACCCAATTATAAATATCATAATTCTTTTGATTAAGGAACAAAAAACCCTTTGCAACTATTTGAAATTTTTCTTCAAATGACAGAAAATACATTTTCGTAGTCAATAGGTTGTGTGAGAGTCATTGTGAGATAGTTACATTACATTACTTCTTCTAACATTGACATGTATCTAGTATATACTTTTGAAAATTTCAATTTGTTGTGATGGTTGATCAATGACAAGGCCTCAAAATACTTTATTTACTATGGACGCTTATGATAATGTATTGTACATAGGTCTGGAAAAAATGAAGCTTTAACAGATGAGCTTCAGACAGCTGACCGAAAAGTCGAACACCTACGCAATGCACTCCAATTGATAAGCAAGAGGCTCGCAACTTGTGCTGGGAACACACAGGGCCAAGATCCAGCTGCCAGGGAAAAACGACTAAAAAAACTCCCAGAATACATGCTTGGCCTGTCCATGTGTGAAGCTAGCAATTTTGATGATGATGACAGTATTTTAAAGTATATCCTGTATGAATGTGGTAAGTGAAAATTTCTCTACAATTAAAAATATTTTACTAACATCAAAGTTTGTATACGTTCCAGAACGTATTCTGTAAAATCACGTGCAATAATATCCCGTTTTCCGACAAAAGCGCGATAATATCTGCCGCACATTTGCCTACTATTTTTGGTCACCAGTAACGTTCAGTGTCTGCCCTTAAAGTGGCCACAAATTCTTGATAAACAAGAGGAATTACATTGTAGATTCAAATTGTTTCATTACTTTCTTGCGAACGCGAATTTACTCGATTTACGTAAAGTAAATTTAGATGATATTGTTCTTTGAAAAAAAGATGCTTACATATAAGAGATATTGTTACTCCATTGACGATACTAGAATTTAAAGTAGTTAACATATGATTTTGATACTTTATAGCACATAATGCTTTTTTAGACACCCAACAAGTTTTCAGTGACTGATAATAAAAACAAATTAAAATGACTAAAACTTACTGTAAAATGATAACTTGCCTCGAATCTTGTCTATAAGAGTATAAAGAGAAGTTATTAACTTAAAATTCAGTACAACTTTTTAGAAAATGTAATGTATATTTTTACAGGCATTACATATCACAGGAAACTATAACATTCCTGCAGGCCCATTTGGCTTATGTTTATGTAATAATCGCATCTTAGAATCTCAACTACTTGCATTTTGCTATTGTACTATATCTACCTCAAATTCCAATATAATGCCGGCTCCACACTAGAGCCCATGATGGGCCATCACCATTGAGTAGACGGCATGATTGTCTATAACAGCCCATGATCGGCGATAATCGTGCATGGTCGCCACTGTGTCGGTTTTTGGGACAATCATCAAAGGAAGTTTGGCCGTGACCGTGCGCACAACCGGCCCGGTGCGGACGCGTGTTACATTGCCTGTAATCGATGCTAAAGTGTCATAGTCGAAGACCTATAATGAACCATTTATGTTAATACAATTATTCTTGTCTCGACGTCCATATAGTTCAGATGGCAATTAACAAATATGGGATGACCGATCGTTACAATCATGGTGGCACTCAGTGATCACCAATCATGGGCGATAGTGTAGAGGGCCTATTATATCTCTGTCACCATTGATGCGTGAGCAAGACATTGCACTAATAATATTGGATTTAGATAGTACAATGGTAAAATGCAAGTCGTTAGGATTCTATTGAGATGCGATTATTACGTAAAAATTTGCAAACTTGATGCATTTGAATAGCACCGAGCAGTTGAATAAAATCTTAACAAAAAAACTCGTATCACATTCATACATCACTAAGAACAAAATGCAAAAAAAAATGTCATCAATATTATAACTGTTGACTTTATGAGAGTTTACTTATCATTATATTATTAAATCGTTTTGGCATTCAATAGGCAAACAAGAAAAGTTGCTTGCAAACGAAATAGCTGAGCACGAGTTAAAGATAGAACAATTAGTTTGTGCACCACTGTCAACGATCAGTGATCAAGACTTACCGGCCATTATGAAAGCTAAGAAGCATCTGAGCAGGCTTATAAGTGAAAAAGAATCTGCAGCTAGTAGATACCACGTAAGTTATCATAACACACTTATCAATTATTTTACTTATTAGTTTTCCGTCAGCGGCTTCGCCCGCGCGGTCCCCAGGGAACTTTATTTGGTATCGATTCATGTCCTGACACAGTAAAGATACAATGACAAATTGTAGTACACAATGTTTACTATGGTAACGGTTTAATTCCCTATACAAATCTCCACTCCCACTTTCATCCCTTTATTTGTTGCTTTTCGGGATAAAATATAGCCTATGTTCACCGCATATGATGTAGTAAATTTTTAAAATCGATGCAGCAGATTCGTAGCCAATTCATTGTAAACAATTAAATCACGTGCACAAGTGGCTTGCTTTAATTTTTTATAAAACTATATAAAATAAAAAAAAATCGTCAATATGTATAGTCAATTATCACAATAGATTTAAACCTCTAATAACACAAGGTTTTAACTAAATTGAATTAGAAGTTTGAATAACCTGTATCTTCAGCACGAAAATTAACGGCAAATCGAATTCAAACGCAAATGTAGCCAGGTGCAAACTTCCGAAGTATGGAGGATTCTATAAAAGGCTTTTTTGAAAGTTGCTTTATATCCACATCTGAGACTGAACGCGCTAACCTCTGCTCTAGCGTATTCCTAACTAACTAACTGGACTAAGTTGTCCAATATAAATTGTTTTCGATACAAATTCAATTCGCACTCGATGATTTTTCGTGCTGTAGGTACTGATGTGCTGTGGACTGTATATTACATTTTGAAATGTCTACAGCATTTAGAACGTCAAAAAGAAGAGAATCCTACAAAATTAAATGCAGCGAGAGACGAATTAGAAGAAGCGGGTACCCGAGTGGAGGCAGCGCGCGACGCCCTAGCAGCGGATATGTTCGCTCTCGTCGCTAAAGAAGCGCAACTCGCTCATACACTACTACAATATGTCAAGTTACAGAGGGCATATCACGAGTCTGCACTCCATTCCTTACAAGACACTGTGCCTGAGCTGGAAAGATTTATAAGTAAATATTAGCCGTTTTAATGTTGAAAATAATACATCCTCATTCAATAAGATGAGTTATTTACTTGTTATAATAAAAAAAGAAAATAGTAATTCATAGTTTATCAAAAGTTATTTTCAACATTATACGCTATTACCACAAAATATAAATAGTGTTACCACAAAATATCACATTTCTCCAATGAAATTCGAAAATAACATCTGATAAACTATTACCAAAAGTCATTTATCTATTAAGTCTGATTCCTCTTTATATTAAGGCAAAGTTTAGGCTGCGAACTTGATAAGGTAAACATACATATTAAGTTTAGTTAGTTATCTGAAAGTCGACCATCATTTGAAAATGTGGAGGAAAAACCAGTAAGTACTAGTTGGACTCGCGCACTATGAGCTTCGTACAAATATTAAATCTTAAACACCCAGTCATTCTAGAGGTAGGTAGAGGTGTAATTTTTAGGTGAAGAATTATTTCGTGTATTTTTTTCCAAAACTATACGCCCAGTTGTTTCGGAGATAAGACAAGCCTCTGATACCCGAATTCAAGTAATTTTGAAATTATAAAAAAATCATTACGTTTGTTATACAGTTAGCGAAACTTTTTTAAACCGGACGATCACAAATATAACACCCGCGTGAACGGATAGTAAATCTAAATATAGCATTTATCATATCAGCTTATTCTGATGTTCGTTAGGTCCAATGATTCACACAGCTTCGTCAACCGCACATATAAATATATGAATAAGATACGCCGAATTCCCAACGAGGAGGCAAGAGGCATTTCATATATTTGTACTTGCTGCTTGGTCTGACACATTAGTCGGTTACATCTTTTCAATTGCCTAATCCATATTTTTTACTTTAATAGTTTTCCGCCAGCAACTTCTCCCGTTGGGTCCTGTATTATACAACAATTTATTAAAGATATATGATATTTTTTACTCCATGAAGTTCTCTTTGTTACACATACGGCATCCCGCAGTAATACAGTAGTACCGATCTCTTTCGAGCATAAATCTAATTTCTGTTATCATTACTTTTTCTTAAAAATTCCCAAAGGTTGCATTCCAGTCCTTTCAAAAGACGCACAATATTTATTTATGTTTACTTATAGGCTAAACTATGACTTGGTGTTTCGAGACATTAATTAGTGTAGATCTGTCTAAATTGGCATTCTAAACGATTGCTTTAATTGCTTTGTCAATTGTGCTATTATTATTCCTCGCAGTCCCAATAAGCATGTGTTCATTGTCTTCTTTTCTACTACAATTTGCAATTCTTAGCATTGTACACATGCAAAATAACTAGGTTTTTAAGGTTACGGAACCCCTTTTATTCTGATGCCGTCCGTCTGTTACCAAGCTGTATCCCGTGATAGTGAGACAGTTGCAATTTTCAACAACAAATACTAAAAAACATAATAAGTATTTAAAAGGGCTCCCAACCCCCATACAACACTGATCATTTTGCGTGTTTTTATATGATACGGAATCTTGGTGCGAGAGACCGACTCGAACTTGCCGGTTTTTATAAATTAGCAAGTCAAAGTTAATGTGTAAAACTTTTGCAAACGTTTCCACGGGTATGAACAATAACACAGTAGGACAATTCTTCTAATGTTAGTTTATGACACAGTTTTTGTCACCATATCTGTCACCATTGATGTGGTAGGAAGACATTGCACTAATATTGGAGTTCAGGTAGATAGGGCAATATCTACCCGAACTTCCCCATTAATGAGGGGGATTATCCTGGTGATTCGGTCACGGCTTCCCGTGTGTTTTTGAGGCTTTTTTTTATAACGCTGGGAAATACACCTTAAGCCTTAAACCAGGGCGCTCTAAAGCGCAGGTTAGTGTGGCCTATCTGGTAAAACCCGCTGCGGTTCACCTTGGATAAAACAGGTCGAGTTTCGTTTTATCTTTTGTAAAGACTAAATTATTAATTTATATCGTTTTAGATGACAGCTCAGTGAAACCTGTATTTGGGTATCCTCTCGAGGAGCATCTTCGTGTGACAGGTCGCACTATAGCCTTCCCTATAGAACTGTGCGTCTGTACTCTACACGAGTTGGCACTTAGTGAAGAAGGCCTGTTCAGGATTGCTGGTGGTAAGTTGTGATACTGTTAAACATTGAAGAGAAGCCTTAATACCTCAACTTTAACCTCTCCATTCTCTTGACTAAAAAGAAATCCATTAAGGAAGGTATTTGTAGAAATGTAAAGAAAATCTAAAATCACTAATTTGCCAATACACGAGACTATATAGAATTTATATGGGGTCCTCGGAAATTGCGACATTTTTAAACCGGCGTGCGAGCCACTCGGCTACTGCGGGCGGTCATTACACAGAAAAATTATGTAATAACTAAGATTGTATATTAATTTTCACCCTATTCAACTTAACAATTTTTTTCTTTCTATGAAAAACTAAAATAAAATTTTTTTACCTTAATTTTTTTAATTTTTAGAAACTAAATTATCAAAATATTTTTTCGATACTCATTAGTCTGTTTCTAGGGGAAAACAAACTATACTTATCGCGATCCATAATCCTTGTTTTCGTGTAGTACTACCGCGTAGCCTAAGTATTGAGTTTATTTTCATCGAGTTCAATTTTTATTACAGGTACATCAAAAATAAGAAGGATGAAGCTATCCTTAGATGCGGGTCTATTCAACGTGCCTTTACCACGTGACTATCGAGACATGCATGTCGTCGCATCTGTTCTGAAGTCATATCTGCGTGAATTACCTGAACCTCTGTTGACTTATCGCCTATATGAAAACTTCATCGCTGCCTCTCGTCAACCGTCCGAACAAGCCAGATTAAACGCTCTCTGGGAAGCTATTCATCTGTTACCAGATGCTAACTTCCAAAATCTTAGGTACCTTATTAAATTTTTGTCGGCTTTGACCCAAAACCAAAGCACTAACAAAATGACTCCTTCTAATTTGGCCATAGTTATAGCCCCAAATCTTTTGTGGGCAGCGGACGAGAGCACTTTCGATATGAACATCACTACAGTAGTCAACTGCGTAGTGGAGCTGCTCATAAAACACGCAGACTGGTTTTTCCAAGACGATATCAATTTCTTCATATCATTTACCAAAGAAGATCTACTCCCAGATCACTGTGAATACGGATTCACTTCCAATTTTGTGCACGGATACAATCAAACGGCGGCTCTCACCCAGGAGCAATCGAACGGAGACTACAGTAGTATGAGTAAATCTATGTACGATTACAGTTGTCAAGGAAGTCAAAATAGAGGCAACACAGAAGCACCCGGCCGCCATTCCAGAAGCAACAGTCACGACACTAGCTTAATATTAATAGAAAACGAAATTAAAAAAGCTCAATCCAATAGTTCTCTATCCGATCATTCTAGTCCTCCTCACGGCAGTCCGAAACCGATAATGAGGCGAAAGAACAAGCCTCTGGCGCCCGTGCCGCCCAACTTCACGCCGGATAAAGGCAAGAAAACAGAAGCTCAGGTTCAAACGGCGGCCCCCGAACAGACTAAAGAATCACAACCCGGAAAGGAGACGGAGAAACCCGCCAAGCCCCCGAGACCGGTAATCTCCGACACCGGGAAAGTGATATCGGGCGTGCAGACAATCAACAGATCGACGTACAGACAGAACAAGGCAATGAAAGAGGAGGCCGCGCGAAGCGGCAGCCGCGAGAATCTCGCCGACGTGCGACGGCAGAGCCTCGAACTGGAAAAGGAGAAACTGGACAGTCTGAAGGCGGTCGACACGGTCGTGGTCAAAAACCTGACCGCCCAGACGGGCGTCGTGAGTCGAATGAAAGTGGGCGGCGAGTTGTCGAGCGGGCCCGCGTCGCTGGGCGCGGCGCCGCGGCAGCCGCTGGCCAAGCCCGTGGGGCAGCCGCCGCCCCGCCCCGTGGCCGCGCCCCGCACGCTCCTCCCCGCCCCCGCGCCTTCCGACCCCGATGCCGAGGTGCAGCTGCGGCACAAGCCCGCCGTGCCCGAGAGGCCGGCGACGCTCCGGCCGCAGAGCTTCCGCGCGCCCCGCGGCTCCGGCTCCGACGCGGAACTGACGCCGACAGTACTCGAGCGCACGCACATATACACGGTGGACAAGCAACACCCGACCGTGATCAGAGTGGGCGGCGCGCCCGAGCCGGAGGAGGGGCCGCGCGCGACCGTCCAGCGGACGCACAGCTCGGGCGGCAAGGACGCCGAGATCGACGAGCCGAAGGGTTTGACCGGGGCGAGCAGGCAGCTATCGCAGTCGGAAGGCAGCATCACAGAGGCGCCGCAGTCGCCGCGCGTGCAGGTGTCGCGACCGCCGCGGCCGCTAGTGCCGGCGCCGCCGCCGCCGGTGAGCGCGCCCCACAACGAGAGCACCGACCTCTAGCGGCGGCCGGCGGCGCACGCGTCCGCCCCGCGACCCGCCGCCCGGACGAGGCCGTCTCGGAGGGTTTAAACCGCGGTGTCCAGTATTCGAGGAGAGACTGACGCATCATTTTATATTCGAGCTCCCTTAGTCGTAGTCGATTCTAGCGTGAGGATTATGAAGAACTTATTTTCGTGCACGCTTATTTCTGATAACCACTATTTGTGATAAGTCATATTTTACCAAACTACACGTAGTGCTATTTTTGGCGCAGCGGTTTATAATAATTATGATTGTGGTCGATTATAAATCTAAAAGACATATCGTTTTTGAAACTGCAATTTAGCTTTATGAGCTGTTAGAATGTGTTGCTGCTACATAAAAATTTGTACAATATAAATTTAAAAATTGCAATTTAACTTTGTGATATTAGAAAACTTATAATCACGGAGGCCGCGAAGCACCGAGTCAGCGGCCGGTGCACAAAATGTAATAATGTTGTATGACGATTAGCCATATTTTTGATATTTATGACATGGCGGCGCCGCCTTAATATAAGACACGCTGCTCTTTCAGTGAATAATATAAAATTATTTTAGGCTAAGTATGTTATGTAGTATTTATGATGTTTTATGTGATATGCATTTTATTGTAATAATTATACTGCAAGTATACAAGCTTCTGTTGTAAGTAATAAATAACAATTATACCGACGACGCGTATTCATTTTTGTGCATAGCGCCATAATAGTTTAAAAACAATAATTGTTTTTAAGACTGTATTTATTTAAATTTGCCATCTAACAATGTAATAATTTCTTTTACCAACTCGCAATAGAGACATTAAATTAGGTAATATATGTGCTGATTCTGTAATAACTTCATCAATTTTCTTAATTCTTTGGTGATTTATATAGAAACCTCCTGCTTGTATTATCCTCATAGCGTCACCTGAAACATAATATTTTACAAAGTTAAAACAATTACTTAATAGTGAATCAAATATTTATATAATAGTTACATACTTTCTGTAGGGAAACAATTTGCTTTCATTCCTAGTTCCAGTACAGTAATACCCGGTGATAGCAAAATTGTTGTGACTGGTGCTCCTGTGAAAACTTGCTCTAATTCATTTGAACTTAGAGCAACAAGTGATTTCACATCTTTACTGAAGATTGCTTCTGTCGCTCTAAGGGCCTGCTCCAGGCCTTCCTCTATAACAATAAAACAATTATTATTCTACATTATCATACATTATATTACCTCTTGTATTGATATGCAAAGCCAGAATACAAAGTTGCTGTTGGTGAAGACAACACTCATACTTGGTTCAACTTATACAGTAGAGCAATCTGCATTTAAATCGATTTATTTGCAAACATCAAAGTTCACTCTTTCCTTTCATAAATTATAAAGATTATTCTATTATTTTGCACAACAAGCCTTGCATTGTAAAAACTTAGTTTATTATCTTGGTGTGTCTCTACTAATGATGTTATCAATTAAAACAAAAAAAAATTATATAGGCACTTGAAATTTTGAATATAGATTAACTTAACATTTGTTTCAAAATGAATTCTTGACCCTATTCTACTTACTCCCGTGGACTAACATAGTTAGCTGCTCTGCAAGACATGTCTGTGGATATCTCTGTTCTGGATGCTGTTTGTGCTTGAACATAATATCTTTAATTTCTCCTAAACTATAAAAGGAGAACAGTTTCAAAAGCCTTTCAATATCTGAATCTTTTGTTCTTAAGAAAAACTGATAAAGGCTATATGGACTTGTCTTCTGTGGATCTAACCATATGGCATTACCAGCTGATTTTCCAAACTTGTCACCTTCTTCTGTTGTCACTAATGGTAAAGTCAAACCTGGTAAAAGATAGAGAAAAATATCACAATAGTCAGTTTATGAAGTAATTTTACCATTATCTATGCTCACCATAAACATCAATTTTTGCAGTTCTGCTAATTAACTCATGGCCAGCACTTATATTTCCCATTTGATCACTTCCACCGACCTACAAAAACTCTTTTATAAGGATACTGGTCTTGAAATGATGTTATTTTTACTGATTTATTAGAGTCACATACCTGAAATCTGCATTTGTATTTCTTCAACAAATGGAGCCAATCGTATGCCTGAAATATTTGGTATGCAAACTCTGTAAAACTCATCCCTGTTTCAGAGTTTATCCTAGACTGAACACTTTGTTTTAGGAGCATTGTGCCCATTCGGAAATTACGCCCTATTTCACTAACAAATTGTATAGAATTTATGTCTCTATACCATGATTCATTATTTACTATTCTGAAAAATTAATTGAATAAAAAGGTAAGTTTAAAATTTAAAAGTTAAGATGCATTTTATATCATAAGCTTACACAATAGGTTGAAGTTTATGTTCTTCTTTTGTCCAAATGTATTTCTTGTGGTTTTCAAATACTGTCTCCAAGTTTTTCCTTATGCCATCTATGTTCTGTTGTATTACATTTGTTTGCAAAGCGGTTCTATCTGATGATTTACCACTGGGGTCACCAATGTGTCCTGTTGCTCCACCTATCTTATATTAAATAATTCTTGTTATTATAGGAATTAGGAAAAATTTGTGTACACAACAGTACATAAGCTTATCACACAATTTCAAATTTCTACAATTGATTTTGAATTTACTTTCATGATCATAACAAAATAAGATTTAAATTGTTTAGATAACTATGATACATTTGGTAAGGTCGAAGTTGTACAAACAATTTACAAATACTTACTAATGCAATAACATTATGGCCTCCCCTTTGCCAATGTAGAAGATTGATTATAACAAGGAGATTACCCACATGTAAACTTTCAGCTGTAGGATCAAAACCAGCATATACACATTGGGGAGATTTACAAACTAAGTCTACTATCTCACTCCTGTAGAAGAAGATTTCGGTACATATTAATTATATCACGAACTGATATCTGTTTAAACTCCTAATTAAATACCCATTATATTTTTTAATTCATGTGAATTAAGATTTAAAAATTATACCCACTTTCCATCTGCACTTAAGGCAATCACAGAACTTAACTGATCAAAATATGTAAAAATGTTACATACGCTGCACTGTTTGGAAACAGATCTTGGTACATTCCACGGTCACTGAGTTTCAATATATTTTTGCTGCTGTGAAAACGTGTGCTTATACTGTACGATCTTGGTGTTTTGCTAAATAAAACTAAATGTTTTATTAGCTTCATCTTAGGTTTATAAATGAATTCGTGAAATCTTAACCTAAAAAGTTCTTTTAAATATAATCCTATAAAAACGACAAATTATTATATTAAATCATAACGCGATTCTGGTTCAATTGTATAGTCGCGATTTATTTGTGTCGAATTTGTTATTATTCTTCTTTTTAATAAATCGAGTACAACAGTACATATAAACGAAGTGTATTTTAAAATTTAAGTACTGACAGTGACAATCAGCTGTAGCGATGGACGTTATTCGCGATAGACAGTTATTCAACTAGTGATCTGCCTGAACCGCGATCACTCGTGTTTCAGTTATACAATAACTATCTATTTTCCATAACGTTCTAAAATTAAAACAAATTCACTCGTATGTCAACAGCATAAAGTCGATCTTTGATTTGACGATCACCAAGAAGTAGCGATCACAGGTTTACAATAACTGTCTATTATCCATAACGTTCTAAGGTTAGACCGAATTCACTCTTATGTAAACGACATTACGTTGATTGTCGGTTGCCTCGCTTCAAGGTAGCATCGATCACCAAGAAGCAGCGATCACAGATCGCAGCGATACGTAGACATCTTTATATATTAATGCTTTACATTGACGGTCATGTAGTACAATTTTAATAACGGTATAGAATGTAACGCGTAATGTAGAGCGTTTAAATAATGTGGATCGCAATCAATCCAATCTGTCATGTGTGAATGAAACAAAAACAGGATGTCAGTATACGTGTGAATGAAATAGGTATATGCTAGTTCGCTCACGTTATTCGGGTTTCGGAGTGATCAAGTAACCAACCCAAAATTGAGCTTTATCGCGTTATTATAAGAGTAAAATTCGGTTTGACTTTAGCGTTGTAGAAATAACTAGTTATCAAAAATAGATAGTTTTGATATCGGTGATTGGCGATCAGATAGCGATTGCGTTACGTGATTTGAAAAATGGATAACGACTAGAGGTGTTCGCAACGGCTAAATATTGATAACGTTTTATAACGATACGTTATTTTTAAAACACCTATTATTTTTTACGCTATAATATATTAGTTGATATAAATCACTTTGCTGGAACTACGACGCATTTTGTCGTTTGATTATTTATTATCGTCGTGAAACACGCCGTTCCCTGTTACACATTAAATAATTGGTTGGGTGTAATGGATATTTATACTTTACAATGACAACACATTATTGCTCTGAGCGTTTAATTTACATAAAACAAATTTAAGGATATAAATTCATTGAACTTTCCTTCGTACTTTTAACAGGCTTAGGACTGTCTGACAGAAAATTATGACTTAAAATATATTGAATATATATTATTTAAGCAATATATATTTGCCAGTTTACTTACTCCACTCAGTACATTGTCAGGCGTACTTAAAAGTTCATTGATTTTATATACAATAGGTATTTACAAGTTATTTACATTGTTTTTATTTACACATAGATTTTTTAACTAAGTACATAAATACAATACACTCGTATGGTGCAATATATACACAATATTCACAAAATGGTTATATTAAAAGTTTTTATTGCCATGGAGGAACATTAATTGAGCTACTTTGCTCGACGTAAGCCTCGTACGTCGGTCATTAATTATATGTCCTGCCTTAGAAAAAGCTCGTTCACAGGGCACTGATGTAACAATTATATTAAAATATTTTACAAATATGGAATACAAATACGGATATATCGATTTGTGCCCACGCCACCACTCAAGAGGACAACTTTCCCTGGATATGACGAACTGTTTTTGGTACATCTCCACTTCTTCTGTTACTTTAGTAAAAGTGGAGCGAGGTTGTTGAGATGTTGATATTTTTTGCTCTATTATATTCCATAGAGAAAGTGCAGGAGTACTGCTTTCTGGATGGTGTTGAGGTTCATCTTCGCTAATAATACTACAAATCTCATCTATAATGTACGTTTTAGTAGATTGCAATGTTTCATTGTCTAACGCGAAATGTTTAAATCTAGGGTCTAGAAACGTACACACAGTAATATGTAAGTTCCTAGTTATATTTGCAAATCTGTGTTTTATTCCTAAATTTATTGTCTTGGCTAATTTTTGGACGGGTGTATAATATGTAATATTTGTAGCCATTTGTTCGTAAATATTAAGTAAACCCTGCGTAATAACAATTGCTTTACTAGCAGTCAAATAATTTTCTGCACTCATAATTAACGTAGCTTCATAAAGAGGCTTTAGAATTTCACAAAATTGTTCTAAGCATTTCCACTCTTGGAGTGGTATTATAGGCAAATCTACATTTAAATTAGGCACTGTTGCCCTGATGGCTTCCTGTAAATGTATGAAGCGCTGCAACATTAAAAATGTTGAGTTCCAACGTGTTGGCACTGACATAATTAATGTCAATGCACTTCCTTCAGCTACACCCTGGGAGTTAATCTGATACTTTAACAGCTTCTCTTTTGCTAGAGAGCTACGCTTAAAATGGTTTACTGTTTTTTTTATTTTAGTTATAGTGCTTTCCACTTCGGGAAGTGCAAGGGCATTTTGCGCTACCAAATTTAGCGTGTGGGCGTAACATCCGTAATGGGGAAATCGTAACAAATTTGCAGCACTTTGCATGTTGGATGCGTTGTCGGTGACAAAAAAATTAATTTTACCCACCAGATTCCACTCCTGTACCGCCAAACTAATTGCTTGCGCAATATTTTCACCCGTGTGAGTTCCCTCTAGTAGACTGCACTGTAAAAGCATAGATTTAAATTCTAAGCTGGTTTTATTTATAAAATGGCCAGTGATAGCTATGTACGGCTGCATCGTCCGAGATGTCCAACAGTCTACCGTTATACACATGCTGGTACATTCTTTGTTTACAACCGATTTAATTGTTGCTAAACGGTCTTCGTACTCACGCAACAACAGGGTCGTCGACAGGGTTTTACGATCGGGTAACTTATAATTGGGGTTTAACCCATAAACAAATGATTTAAAGCCCTCATCATCAACGATACTAAAAGGCTGGCAATCAATGGCTATCATATTTAATAATAATTTATCCAGGTTGGTCTTCTCAGTGGTTGATAGGGGTCTAGATAAATACGATGCAATGATCCGTTGCTTTTTTGGCGGATTTTGTGCTGAGGGACCTGGACGAGACGACGATAATAAACCCCCATCATTACACGGACGAGACTCGATCCCACGACTATTACCACCAGCAAATACCATCACCATCAGCAATACCATCACCACCAGCAATACCATCACCACCACCACCGATTCCACCACCACCAGCACAACCAGGATCCACACCAGCAAGAGCACCGGAGTCAGCAATTCTAGTACCTAAGTACAAAAAATAAAGTTTAACAGAAGAAATAAATATGAAAAATGAATATTTTTAAATAGGTACCTATTGGAAGCAAATTCGAATGATTTATTATTTAACTTACCGTTCTCATTTTCTTTCCTGCAAATTTCTTCATAAACTATTAAATGCTTTTGTTTCAAATGGTTTTTTAAATTAGAAATAGTGGTTTTAAACGACAGAGTCTTTTTACAATAGGAACATTCCGCCTTTTTGGTAAGTTCGTCCACCACAGAAAAATAATTCCACATTTGTCCTTTTCGTGGCATTATAAAATATTTACACAACAACTAAGTATCTAACAAATTTTTTACACGAAATATAATACACACACTAAACTAAAACGAACTTTTACGAGTATTTGCAATTATAAATCAATAAACGCATAACACACAAACTACGTCAAGCGAGTAATCTGCACTGACCGTTTTTTATTCAAAAACCTAAAAAATAATCGTAAACGATCAAAAATCAAAATTCAAAATATATTAGTTGCACTTTTTTCAATACTGGAATTTTATGAATATAGTTCTTATGTGGTCACCTTAGAGCATAATTTCTAACGAGTATTATACGACGAAAAATAATCGTTATTTATTCATTCCTGGACATTAATTTGAATATAGATCTTAATAAGTGGTCTTAAAGCATAATTTGGCAGGTGACAAAAATATTCAATCACAGCAAAGTGAAGTTGGCCTTACGTTTCGTTTCGCGCAGTGTGCAAACGCTCGATTGTGTTCATAATTTCAAAATAATCGTTTGATTTAAATAACGCTTGCCAGCAGTAATAAATAATAGGCTATATGATTATTTATAAATATTAGATTATTTTATCAGCGATCTAATATAACGAACATCTCTAATAATGACCCATCGCTAATCAGCTGGCTGGGCCGGTTTCAAGGTTGCCCGATGAAGTTGTTTCAATTTCTCCCGGACTGCGTTTTAATTTATCTATTATTGAATAGAAAATTTTGACACATCAGGTTTTCTTGTGACATCACATCGTTTATTCCAAGTTTATTCAAGAGTTTGCTATTCATTTCAACTTTTATGACTATTATGTAAGCTATCAGTAGTTAAATTAAAATAATTCGTGTCATAAATAGACTTTGTAGCATTTCATGAGACTTCGTCATTTGTTTTTCACAATATTGTGCACGGAGAAATCTCGTTCGATACATTTGAAAAATTTGCAAATTTCGGAATGTTTCCAAAACGCTTATTTAATTTAAACTTCAGAGTAAAATGCAATTGAGTTGGTGGTGCCCTACCATTGTTTATAATTTAACTGAATCCAATCTGATTGTACATCATTCATATTACCATAAATCCGGGTCCGCTGAAAAAGTGTTGACATTTTCGAGATGTAGGACATAACTTGGGAGGTAATGATTTCGGATGTCAGTCGGCAATCATTTTTAACGTTGTGAAAATCTCTGGGAGTCGTTTTTGAATTTCCTCTACAAGGCAAATCAAAAACATCTTACATCTTTCTTTCCATCTGTTAAATCGCTTTCTTCAAGTTCTTGAGAATTTTTTTTTTTTTAAACTATAACCGAATTATATCTATTGATGTTGTGTGCACACGAATGTCAACTTAAACTGGATTGCGTACTGATATATTTCTTAAAATCAAACTTACACTTTATCTAATATAAAATAAGGTTTATTTTTCTATGTCACATTTCAGAGTAGAAAAACGGTCTACTAGAGATATTAGATTTGTAGTAGTAGGTCCTTGTCTAACGAGTTGCCATTGGAAAATTAAATAATTGTTATTGGCAATTAGGAGATTTTATTGATTTTTTAAAGACATCACTAGGTCATTTTAATTATTATCTATGAGTAAATATATTGAATAGACATAGTTGATATGTTTTTTAAGTAAAAGTGTGAATTAATTAAAATTATAATGTAAACCGATGTCGTGTAAGTAGTTTTTCGTTACATCTAAGTAGCAATATTATAAATTAATATGGCCGCTCGATGTGACAACATAAACAATGTTAAAGTTTAATGTTTATTTGTGTTTTGACTTACTAATTCGATTATTTACATCAAAATGGTATATTGTTTTGCTTGGCTGATTGCAAAAATGAATGGTATCACGAATGTGACTTCACATTCTACAGGTAAGCTGTTTTCCTTATTTATTAAACAGTGATGAAATAAGGTGTCTACGATCAAGAAACAAAACCATATCAAAGAGGCTTTGATTTAAATTAATATTCATACGGTTATATTATAAACATTTATAAGTTTTACTTACGCTACCCGCCATTCTTCGTTATCAATATTTTCACGGTAGGTACAAAGTTATTTGGAAAATGAAAAACGAGAACTAGCTTAATTATGTTTTGGAAAATATCGGAATGGCCTTCACATTAGTTTGGATAAATATTTATAAAGTAATAATTTTTTTATGCTGACCATGACAAAATTGCTCTTATGTTTCTAGGATCCTAAAGGATAAAAGTCTAGCTGAAAAATGGAGGACAATAATACCAGGCAAAGTGATCCGTTGTATTCTAATATAATTAATAGAAAAAAAAAACATTTCTATCCTTTTAATTGATTTATACATTATAGATGATTATAATAACATTTATGTACTTGTTTTATTTCCTACAAAATAAATATCTTTACCGATAAATAAAAACTAATTTATCGGTTAAATTTCTAACATCATCATTCATAATATCTGTAAAAAATTATAAAATTATATCTGTAAATGTTTAAATTTGGTCATGTAAACATTATTAAATATTACCTATTTATGAAATTATTAAAAACGCGTGGACATCCTACAAAACTACTAAGACAGAGATGAAGAGTTACTAATTTACTCTCTCACTCTGCCCGTTTTTAATGAAACACTGCACAATCCAGTTTAAATTGACATTCGTGTGTGTGCATTATACATTTTTTAAAGTCAAAATGAACAAGTTCAGACTCTGTTAGCTTTTGTAATTGAGAGGGTAGAACAATTTTTTGAAGTACGTTTTTGTATAGAAAAATAAATATTTCTACTTCGTCACTTTGGAAAATAAAATTCAGTTGAATAACTATTTTCAATTCATCTCCTAAAACAAACAATAACGCTTTAAACGGTCGGCCATATAACATTTGTCCTGCGACTTAGCAATTGAAAACAGTAATCTTAGCTCATCCCATTGTTTTATAATCGTGCCGATAGCTTCGTAACGTGCCAGCCACCGCGTCCCATAACGTATAAAAGTAAATAAATTTTCATAACTCAATAAACAAAGTATATTCTATTTGTACTTTTTCGTATTTGCATTGATATCTAAGTTTCGAACTTTGCAAATTTCAGTTTTTTAAGTTAGTTAAAAGTAACGGAAATTATAACCTTGGTCCATTCGTTTCCTGCAGAAATCAACTTTTTCTAGAGTTGCCATCTAGTGAGGTACTTTTTTGTGCTTTCTTTTTTTCGGCACTCTCACGAAATAAATCAAATAGGTATAAAACTTATTTTTTTTTGCACTAAATAAGCCATAAATTTTCTTGATCCTTAATAAAAGCCCAATAAGGAAATATTTTAAGAAAAAAAAGAAAGCACTAAAAAAGTACCTGGCTGCGTCATATCTACTCAGATTTTGTTTATAAAAATGAGCTACAAATGATGAAAGGTGTAGATACAAATTTTGCGTATCTCTTAAAAGTAAGTTTTGGTATGACAGCTTCCTGTTTATATATGTGTACGCCGGTAAACAGAAACCAATTACAGGACGTTCTCGTCGTTTCATAATTTTCTAAAAATGATGCAGCTTCTTTACATTATTTTACTGCAGATAAACATATTTCGTCTGCAGATTCAGCCAAGCCTTATCTGTTAAATCGCACAGTTAAAGACTGTTAGATTATCACTCCATCTAGGAAAAAATATAAACGAAAGAAACTTAATGTTGTATTTGAACCTCGTGTGTCGTACAACTAAACAGTACGCGTAACGAATTTCTAATCTTTTATTAGGATTTTTGTATCTGTCTGTTTAATGAAACACCAAATGCCACAAAACAATTTATTATATAGTTTTTTTTACATAGTTTTTCTAATACGCTATACAATTATGTTAACTTTGTGTAAATACTCAAGTCTATGATTTATACACATGCCATAAATGTTATTCACATAAGCTTTGGACATTTTTTATATTAAAATACAAATTTTATTGCTTTAAACTTTAAAATGTTGTACTTATTGGAAATTTTTAGTGTCAATTTATTTATTAATAGATTATTACAAACTTTAACTTTAGTAGGCTACAAATCAGATCCTGATTTTACCCATCTAGTTTCATTTATCATAAATATATGGATATCTACCAAAAATAGACAACTCCAATCGAAGTTCTGTTTAGTCGTGTTTTTGATTAGATTTGAATATAATATATTTATAATGCTAAATTAAACGAAAAGTTGATACAGGCGGAGGCAGAGTTTACGATTTATTACAAGGCAGTTAAATTTCAGCAGAGCGACTGTCTAATTTTCTAGCCATAGGATCTAGACATCTCATCGATGTTATGGAAATATTTCGTAATATATTACTACTTTGACACGTACTTTAGTAACTAATGAATGAACGATAAAAAATGATGATTAACGATTTGACAAGTGTTACCAACTTATTAATTTATCCCAAATATATCCACCACGTGTCAAAGTAGTCATATATATCGTCATAACATCGATACGATGTCGTATTCTATGGCTAGAAAATTAGACAGTCCCCAGGCCCGTGTGTCAAGTGTGGTCCGCAAAAGCAAGTTCCAAAATGTCCGGAAGGTACATAAAAAGACGAGTGCTCGACATAATCTTGTTTCTTATTCTTAAAATATTTCCTAATAAACAATTAATATTTATTTGATAATTAGTTTTTATTGCGCATATCTTGAGTTCAGTAATTACAAGTCCGCCATAAATGTATGAATCCTTCGTTTGACCAGACTGTCAAAATTGAGCGGCCTAGATCAGTTTGTCGGAAAAGCAGATACACAAAATGCTAGGACAACCATGCTATTACCTCTATAGCTTGTAAGTTATAAAGTTCTCCACACCAATAATAATTTATATTTACGCATAATCTCGCGACCAGCAAAGTTGATTATTAAAAATGAAGCAAGTTTACAGCTGAGTTGTCATGAAGTGTCCCGGCCTGTAACTATTAGGAAGAATGACATCAATTTTACTCACTCACTGATATCATATTAATTCCAATCATCAGTAACATATAAATGCAAATGTTCCCTCGAGATTATTTATTTCCAGTCCATAAATTATTTGTTTAATAACCTAGTGCAAAACCTTACTTTCGTATTAGTTTTTAAACCTATGGCTTATTTACATTGTACGACAGAGCCCGTAGATAGAATGAAGTTGATTCCTGTGATCATTTTATTCACCGATAATCAAACGACAACTAATCACCGACCAATGAAATTAAGCACAAAAGTTGCCTGCACTCTGCATACGGGCTTTATCGACCAATTTAAATGAGCCACTATATGGAGTATACATAGCTGTTCCTTACTCAAATTTACATAAAAACAATATTATAAATTAACTATTAACTTATAACACAAGGAATAATGCAATACAGGGAATCATAAAAACTATCCTTAATTAGATACATAATGATTATAAAACGACTCCTTTGACTCATATTTTAATTCACTGATTTCATAGTTCTGGCATTTAATATTTTGGATTCAAAAACAAAGTAAATATTAAAATATTGCAGAAAATTTGTTAAGCCTTTTTAGAATATATTATAAATCCTCAACTATAGTCGTTTATTGATTTAGAGGCCTAATTAGCTTTGTTATAGACCAATTTCATTATGAAATCAGTATCTATAGGTGTCCTTTTAAAAATACCAGAGTCCCAGAGTAAAATCCATCAAGGATATAATGTAGTGTAATACTAAAAAAATATTCATAATAAACGGAATTTAATCTTCGAGAGTTACATTTTTGAAGAGATACGACATCGATTCTTTATTGTGAATGCGCCTTATCGCTTCACTAAGTAACACTGATATATCGATTGTTTTGATCTTGTTGCATTGCATTTTCTGCAACTCGTGGGGTACCGTGTTAGTGACAACCACTTCGTCAATGGGCGAGTCTTCGATGAGACGCGGGGCATCAGATGACAGGAGGCCGTGTGTCGCCAATACATATATTTTGTATGCACCGCATTCTTTCAGAACTTCAGCGGCGGCAACAAAAGACTGCACGTCGTCTATCATATCATCCTGAATTTTAATAAAATGTAATTATAAATATGACATTTATTTCTATACCCGAAGACAGGCTAAGCAACGGATAATAACCGTAATTTATTATATGAGCGTTAATAGTAAACGATACGTATCGCTAACCATATAATTCTGTATCGTTTCCGCATTGTACTGCGTTTTGTTGTGCTGGACGCTGTAAGTCGCTGACCCTACCCCGTACAATAAAATTATTATATTAAAAGGAAAAAATCTTTTTTGAATACCTATTCAACGATATGCCTTAACTTAGTTCACGGATTATTTTTTTGATATGGCTTCTGGTTGTCGCTATGGCAGTTTGATTATTGATTGACGTAAGAATCATTAAAATCGGTCAACGTGTTTGGTCTCTACGACGCCACGTAGTAACAAACATACAGCCAGTTGCACAAACGTCCATTAAAATTGTCATTAGTTTAAAGCGACATTACCCATACAAATTTGACATTCAATAGAGCTTAAAGGCATCATTAAACCTTAATGGATATATGTGCAACCTACTGTAAGACTGATGAACACTAGCGATTACCCTCCGCAGTCGGGTAACAAAACGCGGTACTACGCGGGAACGATAGAGTACTATGGATACGTAGATATACATATAACTTTCTTTATACGCTCACATAATATCTGTGTCATTTCTTTTTTCGCCTGTTCTAGGAACAGATTATAACTATACTAGTATTATGTCACACATACTCCATGATTTTTTTGACTCTTTGTTATCACAACGTAGCTCGTGGTGTGTGGATAGTGGATAAGCGCCGCGGCCCACGATCGTTGTCGTTAAGCAACTTTCGCAAGGGTCGGTCACGGGATGGGTGACCAAAAAATTATTATCTCGAGCTACTCCGTGCTTCGGAAGGCACGTTAAGCCGTTGGTCCCGGCTGCATTCGCAGTCGTTAATACCTTCCAATCCGCATTGGGCCAGCGTGGAGGGTCATGGCCCATCCTCCTTAACCATTCATAAGGAAGGCCCGAGCCCCTGCAGTGGGGACGTAAAAGGGCTGATGATGATGATGATGATGATGTTATCACAGCGACCTCCTGTGCTGCCAAAAAAAAACATTAAGTCGTCGGTCCTGTTTGTATCTGCAGTCGTTAATACCTATGTGAACTGGGCCCGTAATTTGCTATGGCTTGTTCGATTTAATTCCATCTTTTACTATAATAGCTAATAATAATCACTTTTCTTTATCACTTACCACCATGATCGCTATCCGACCTCCTACATCGCCAACAACATTGATTGGTGGTTTTTCTTTAGCTGGGTGAACCGGAACTCCCACAGACACATCCATGGTACGAGACCTGTCAACACTAAAAAACAGATTAAATCTACAAATATTCCAAATCAGGGAGCAAACCATACATTCCATTTCAGGGAAAAAAAAATAATGTGAGGATGTAGGATCAAGACCTTTAATTTGACGCCCATATCGCTATAATTTAAAAAATACTCATATCATATATATATATATACGAAAAGGCCATATTGAATAATTAAAAAATATGTAGCCAGTGTTATTCGGGATGATGTATTCCATATATATCCGTGGATGATATATATATTCATATCCGTTAAGTCTTTCAAAAGTTATGGTGGAATAAAGAAACTCACATACATACATAACCCTGAATACAATACCCTCCTTTTTTGGGTACTTGTGTAAGAATGTATTATTAAAAAAATTCGTAATCCAGTTTTAGAACGTATCGGAAAGTAATAAAACCGATAGATAGATAATAAAATGCTCGCCACGCGTGTTGATACCGCTGATGCTCGGGGAATCCCCGATTCAAGTTTCGTTTGATTGATAACGTTTCATGTGTCGTTATCAAATTTTAATATTCTTGCAACCTGCCTTTGCAAAATTTGAATGATACTAATTTATTGAAAAAGTAGCATCAGCATCTATCCATCTTTATATAAAAAAAATAAAACTGACTTCAAACTTAAAAATAGTGTAAATTTATTAATTATTAACCAACAGAAAACCTCCGCCCGACTTCAATAGCATTTTCTTGAATAAGTCGTTTTTTGAGATAAGTATTATTTTTCAGTTTGAAGTCAGTTCTTTTTAAGTTTTATATTTCATGCTTTTTAGTGATATTGATATTTTTACTCTTCTGAAAACTGTTTTAAAGTGCGAACCTCAATTTTTAACCAACTCCTAAGTCTGACAAATACTAATATATTAATAAGTAAATACTAGTAATGATTAATTAATACTATGCCGAAAATTTAAATGGGATCAGCTTACAAATAAAAAAAAAGAATCAATAGGATTGGTCCACTCTGTAAAAAGTTTTGAGGTAACAAATATCACGCATACTTAATGCAAATTTAAGAAATTTAAGATGCACATCATCAAAATAACCTCCCAGTAAAGAGTTATGAGGTAACAAACAGAAAAAAATACATAATAGAGAACTTCCTCCTTTTTTTGAAGGTGGTTAAAAAGATATATCAATGTTGTTTTCCAAGAAAATGTTCAGTTTTTGATCCTCTGTTAGATGTGAAATAGAAACACCATTTTCTATAAGAGAACTTGCTGACTTATTAATAATAAAGAATAATTTTATTTCTTTAAGCTTTCCTGAAGTGTGCACTGCATTTCTGTTCTGATGAATTTGCCATGGCCTTGAAAGGTATTGTTACACCACAGATAGTAACTTTAATGATTTTTTCTAAGTGTATATATATATAAAAAATACACTTCAGTTGTTGAATATTTTACAAAAAAAGTGGGTTTTGAAAGTACAATACTCACTGTACAATTGAAATTTAACTATCACAATGTTCATTCCAATTTACCTTGGTATGCATGGTGGAGAATAACGCCCATCAACTTCGTCACTTTCAGCTTCTTTCTGTTCTCCATGTATGACAGCAATGGCAAGTCGCAGACGCTCAGCGTATGAAGTGGCCTTTTTAGCTGATCCAGGATTGCGAGCCACAATCACTGAATTACGATAATCTGGAATCTATAGACATTCATATGAGAATGGATATAAATGAAGTTATCATTGAATAACTTCTTTGCTTATTGAAAAGGAAAACATAGAGAATACATTAGAAATTCAAGCTTTCAAACTTACACTTTCTTGAATATATTGCAATAAAAAGGGTGAGGCCCTGAGATTATCCACTGGACAATCATAGAAACCCTGTATCTCTTTTTGATGTAGATCCATGGTGATAATGTGAGTTAGGCCCGACTTGCACATCATCTTAGCAAGAAGCTTTGTGACAATGCACCCTCGTTTCCTCATTTTGCACTGTTTGCTGTATGGAAGGTATGGAATAACCCCAACAATTGAACGTGCAGAGGATGTCTTACATGCATAAGCCATTATTAATAATTCCATGATATTATTATTTACGTCTCTGAAAAAAATTAATAGCGAATAGTATTATTTCAATGATAATCAAGATGAAATCATGACCATTTTCTGTCATATGTAAGAATTTATCATACAATCAATCCTTACAAAAGAAATTAATATAATGTAATTGTTACAGTCAAGCCCAATTTGCTCAATAATAGTACATACATATGACCTTTTAATACAAACAAAGCATTTAAGAGTAACAGGAATTTATTTTGATATAGCTTTAAAAACATTAGTCCTGTATAAACGGTTTCTGGTCCCTATAATATAACACAATTTATATTTTAAGCCATGATAAAAAATGAGCACACTATGATTCCCAGTCACATGCAAAATGTATAGTATATAGTCATTAAATTTCTCAAATCCCCAACCACCACAACCTAAGTCTATTAGAACACAGAGTAAATAGATGAATAGATGCATACTAGTCATACACATTCCATCTTAGGCCAGATTTTATTTAACCTAGGGTCAGATAAAAAACAAGTGAAACCAAAAATCATACCCAGTTTAGGTAAAAACATAGATAGATAAATGAAATGTAATATATATTACATTCATTTGTGCCAATGTGTACAATATATTTTAAGTTTGTTATAATACTTAACTTTATAAAACATTAAAAATATATAAGTTCATTGAAAAAATAATATAACTTTTTCACATTTTACTACTTTAATACCTACTTGACTGCTTAAGTATTAGATTACACTAAGATTATGGCATATTGAACTCAAACTACAGGAAGTTTTGATCATTGCACTATACTCTAAACTAAACTATAAAAAATCAGTTAAAAATTTGGGGTCATTTTAAAGATAATTCCATAGTTATGCAATCATGCCGATTACACTAAATTTGGATTATTCTCTAGTGTAAATAATGTAATATAATTGTTGAAGTCATGTGTCACTGTCACTGACTCACTGTAATCTGTAAGCGCACCTATTTTAAATAAATAAACCTAAATCTAATCTAGTTCAGCACAACAGAACTGCTTTTTTAGTAAAACTATTAAAGTTGCAATAAAGTAAGGTGAAATGTGGAAACAAATATTATCTAATTATTTTTAATAATAATAAATAAAAAAGTTATATTTTACTCACTTAGTACCAGTCTGGACAATGTAAATATTTTTACCACGTATGGAATCAGCAATTTCAACCATGGTCTCTCTGTTAGTTTTATGGTAAACAGAACAACCTCCTGTGTGCACTCCTAATCGGCTGTTACAAATGAAAAAAATATTTACTCATTAATAAAAAAAACTTTTTTTAACCTATTTCAATTAAACCTGAAGATATAAAATAACAATTGATAATTAATCTGTGAAATTGGAGATTCTACAAATCTTCAACATTTTATTAATATCTTAAATTAGTGCTACTTACTAACCTAGCAATCAAGTCTGCTAATTCCGGATGAGAGTTGCCACTCAAAATCACGATATCTGAAGTGGAATTGCCTTCCATATTGCTCTTTCGAGATCGATTGGTGAATCCCACCAGCCTGTAAACAGATTGTAATTAATTAATAATCTGACCACTTTTATCAATTAAATAACTCTATAGTTGGGGACATCACGTTGGATCAACAAGAAAAACAATAAACCTGGTTTTGTTGAGTAACATATTTAATAACCTGATGGCAAATTTGTACGACTAAACGTTGTACTATGCAAATCAAGACCTTGAATATTAATATGTGCCAATTGCCTTCTTGGTTGCTTTTGGAGCGCAATATTTTAATTTGAGTTCAATTAGCAGCACAGTTTATTGTTAAAATAATATGACAGACATCAGACAATCATGCTGTGTTCCGAGAAGTTACAGATTATTTTTATATTTGCTCTTTGTTACGTTACAGCAAAGACAAATGACCACAGAATAATAACCCTTGATTAACGGCAAGCTGTGACAGAAAAATATTTAAATGGGACTGCAATTTAAAGTTAAAAAGAAGAAGACCAATGATTGATTATATAGCTAGGAACAAATTTTATTTTATGAATTTATTAAATAATACTGCCTAGTCAATGTTTATATGTTAATAAGAGACTCACAATCAATTTTCAAATTAAAAGCATTTTATTGCCTTACAACCAACTTTTTGATATGAGGAAGTATTTAAAAAAACTAAAGCACTAAAAAGGCACCTCCACTAGATGGCGACTCTAGCAAAAGTTGATTTTTGCAGGAAACGAATGGACCAAAGACATTTCCGTTCCTTTTAATTAACATATAAAATAACTGAAATTTGAAAAGTTTGAAACTAAGATATCAATACAAATACGATAAAGTACAAATAGAATATGAGTTGTTTATGGAGCTTTGAAAATTAATTTACTTTTAAACATAAAAGAAAACCAAAGAAAACCAGAACCATGGAGAAATCAAAAACGTACCTTAACGACATCTAGGTTGATTTTGGGAACTAATGTTTTTTTATATTTCCTCATTGGCTTGTACAGCTTATGCATTAACAACGGAGATTAAGAAGTAATGTTATCATTTTGGGAAAAGAACGATCTCTAGAATAGGATTACGGCACAACATGAAACGCAAATGTATTTTTGCCCTTTTGATCTATGAGTTGGTCTGTGACTTGACTCGACGTGAAAAATCCTTGTCAGTCATTTTTGTGATAAATATAGCTACTTATCAGATAAAAGCAACTCTGGAAACCATTAAAAAAATTATTAATATATTTTGTATAAGTTCGCTCTTGATAATTTGTCTTGCGCCCGTATACATCGAAGGACCATAGAGAAAAATGCTAACACGACATAAGCCAGGGCTGGTAATACTCTTTTGAAAATAAACTGTCATAACAAATGAGATTTTTAAAGGTTATGTTTGTGCAGTTTTGTATTAAATGGTATTATTTGTTAGTTATAAAATATACTATTATTTTTCTCTCTGATTAATAATAAAGTTCATAGGTCATTTTTATAATGGGTTTAACAAAACAATATCTACGTTATGCACCGAGTGGAACATTTAATGTGATAGCAAGTGCAGATTGTAACTGTTCACATGTTTCCTTAAATGGTGTAAGTGGTAGATATGTTGCCGTGGGTGCTTGCGAACATGTTATTATTTGGGATATGAGGTTAGGAGAGAAGGTAAATAATACATATTGTAGTAAATCTTTATATAAGTTCTTTTCTGCATTTGGGCTTATGAAGTAAGTTAAATTTTTATGTTTTCAGGCTCAATTACTTCCTGGAGAAAATATTGTCGTATCGCAACTGACTGCCAGCCCCAGTGGCAATCACATAGCAGTTGGTTATGTTGATGGGAATATTAATGTGTTTGAACTAACAAACAATGAAATCATCTGTGTGTTTGCCGGGCACAAATCGGCAGTCACTTGCTTGCAGTATGATGATCAAGGTCACAGATTGATTTCTGGATCTAAGGTATATTTTTCTATCATATATGACCTTATGTATATTAACAATTACAATTGAATTTAAAAGCTTTTAATCAAAGTGTTATCTATTAATCTCTTTGGTTATTCATTAACAATAACCTTACTTTAATACAATTAATGACTACTAAACATTATATTTTTATAGGACACAGAAATTATCCTCTGGGATGTTGTATCTGAGACTGGCTTAGCTCGATTCAGTGGTCACAAGGGTATTGTGACTAGTGTACTATTCATCAACAGCAAAAACTGCATCATAAGTTCATCTAAGGATACTTTTGTAAAATTTTGGGACATTGAAACAAAACACTGTTTTAAAACTTTAGGTGGTCATCAAATGGAGGTGAAGATTATTTAATTTGTTTTGTATATACCATTTTGATGTGTCTCCCTTGCTTTTACCATACATAAAAAAAATGTTATTCAGCAAAAAAATTACCTTTAAAATCTCTGAAGTAGATCTTAGTAACCTACCACAGTTTTCTAATTATGTATGTAATATAAAGCCACATTATTTAAATCCATTTCATTGGTCTGTTATTAATAGGTTTGGTCAGCTGTTCTTCTAAAGGAGGAGAGATATCTAGTAACAGGTAGTATGGACCAGGAGCTTAGAGTATGGAAGCTCAATTGGACTAATGATATAAAAGAGGAAGATAAAATATCACAGCAGCTTGAAATAGTTAAACTGGAGGAAACTGATGACATTGAGGATTCATCTGTAAGACATCATTTTGTCTTTCACTCATTTCAACTTATTGAATCTGGCTACAGAAAGTTGCAGTAATACATCCTAACATATTCATGCAATTTTCTGTCACCAGATTGCAGTACTACCACATGCAGTAAAATGTAGTATTTTTTTTATAAATGTCAAACCTCTTTCACTTCACAGAGTCACTACTACAAAGTAAAGACCAAAGTAATAGTGAGCACCATAGGAATTTAAAGTTTTTTAAAATTAGAGAGAATGTAATTTATCTAATAATATGTCATTACCGCATATTTGATTGTCAGAAGGAAGGGAATCATTCATTCAAATGACATGTCATATACTGTTTTAGGTTTTACAATGTCATCAAGTAGGTACTCTAATACGAGGAGGTAAGGGCCGTGTTGTAGGTCTTCACACAGATCCTGGCCAAACTGTGTTAGCTTGTTTTGGAACAGATTCCTTACTTGAACTTTTTTCCTTTTGTTCTGATGAGGAAGCTAAAACTAGAATGAATAAGAGGATTAAGAAACAAAAGAAAAAAATAGCGTAAGTGGAAATATATTAATTGCCTACTGTTTAGTTATTATAGAAAGTAGTAAGCAAGTAAATATATTCTATATTTGTAGGAAATTAAAAGAAAATGGAGGAGTAGATGAAGAGGCAGCAGAGGTGGTTGAACTTTTAACACTTACAGATGAAGTCCGAAGGTTGACTTCAGTTAAATTAGGAGCTAAGATAAAGTCAGCAACACTTCTATTAGGAACCACAGGAGAACTCAGAGTTGGAATATCTCTTGCAAACAACACAGTTGAATTACATAGTTTGATGTTAGATGAGGCCAATGAAGGTAAATTATTTAAATTAATATTAATTCTTTTGATATCCTTTTATCTTACTTTTTATTTCTTGGAACTTACTTATGTATTTTTTCAGTGAGATGTTTGAAACAAATAACACAACCTGGACACCAAAAAGAGCCTCGCTGTGTAGCAATAAGTTCAGACAATCTTGCTATTCTTTCAGCATCTGCTGATTCCATCAAATTATGGAATAGGTATGTCACATCCAAATCTTCATTGTTTTTATTTTCAGACATTTTTATCTACTAGAAATTTTGTGTCAATATATTATTTAATTTTAATTACTAAAAGGATGTTCAGTTCTTTTTTATAATCAAAACTTGTTGCTAGAAATTATAGCAGTAAAGCAATACTCTAAACCTGTATATCTTCAGACCGACCCAAATGTGTTTGCGCACCATCCCGATGAGTGGTGGTCGCGCTACGTGCGCGTGCTTCGCCCCCGGTGATCGCTACGCGTTGGTGGGTTGCGCGGGGGGCACACTGCTCGTGGTGGACGTGGTCGCGGGTCGAGTGCTCGAGCAAGTGCCCGCCCACCAGGGGGACTGCTCCTGCGTCGGTCTTACACCAAATATGGTAAGTCCTCTACTGCGTCGAGCTCAAGAGTAAGTGTGTTCAGTCTGCGATTGCGAAGATTATACAACTTTCGCAAAGACTACTGGATGGGAGATCAAAAATAAAATTCTTGAAATGCCCATTTCCCAAAATATCCAATTCCTGAAATGTCCAATTCCTAAAAAGTCCTTATTTGTCTGTTCATATAAATTAATTAATAACATTATGTTGACTATAAAAAAGTAAGGTTTTTAGTTGTGATAAGTTAAGAAAAAAATATTTTAAGGACTAGATCGCATTGGCTATAAGCTGTAAGCTGTAATCAATGTAATTGTGGGTAGTAAATAAAAGAGAGAATTTACACTGAGTTTTTTTGTGAATAATTGCCCATTCTCCTAGTGTGGTTCTATATCAAGCCTTGCCTACATTTGAATGTTTCAACACCCAATGCACTGGGCCCTCATTGTGAAGACCACTTCATCTGCGAGAAATTGGAGCCCCCATTCTTAACCTAACCAAACCTGTCCGTGTGATTTAAAGTATATGGCCTGAACGAGATTCAAATCCGATAGCTTTGATATTTCAATTAACGATTTACACATTATTTTGTCTTTATAGCTGAGTTGCTATTCTGGCGGAGCAGACAAAACGGTAAAATTGTGGCAATCTGAACTAATAGAAGATCCAACGGGCGAATCTAAAGCAAAGGTAAAAGTTAATTTGTTGGTATTTTTTTTTTATATAAATAGAACAACTATGAAGATAGCAAAATTAACATCATATTTGTTCTTACAAACAATGGTACAAACATCAGATATTTTTTTACAAAACATTTACTAATTGATTGTACTGATAGTAAAAAAGCTGTCGCATTTTTATAAATCTATACTATACTAAAAATAATATGACATTCACCTAAGATATACAATAGTTTTATTTATTTATTTTATACTGTATTTTACACAAAAGATTCTCAGATAACAAACATTATTTGGAACTTTTATAAAATATAAAAGGCGAGCTTATTCAAACACGAGTTTTCTTCCAGCAAACATTTGAGTGATCATAAGAAATTTGTAAGTTAAATGTGATTAACGTGTACATTACTTATTTTATACACATATTGATCTGATTTTAGTGTTTCAAGTATATTGTAATACATTCTCTCCAAAATATTTCTCTAATTGCAGGTATTGTCATTATTGCACACCAGAACATTGGAATTGGAAGAATCAGTACTGGCCGTTAAAATAAGTCCGAATAGTAAATTTATTGCGGTTGCTCTTCTCGATTCTACAGTGAAAATATTTTTCCTAGACACATTTAAGGTAAAACAAAAAATCCAATAGAAATTTTATTATATTTCGTTTTGTTGTTAGACTTATTAATCCTTTTTTTTTGCAGTTTTTCCTCTCTCTTTATGGACACAAGTTGCCAGTTCTGTGTTTAGACATAAGTTATGATTCGAATATAATAGCGACTGGTTCAGCTGACCGAAATGTTAAAATATGGGGTATGGACTTTGGTGATTGTCATAAGTCAATATTTGCTCACAACGATTCGGTGACAGCCCTACAGTTCGTGCCCGGTACACACTATTTCTTCACTGCATCTAAAGATGGAAAAGTGAAACAGTGGGATGCTGATAGTTATGACAACATAATCACACTTAATGTAAGTATAATAAAAAACATAACATGTATAAAAATACGATACCAACATTATGATCTCCTAACAAAGTCATCTTTAAACGGAAATCTCACACTTTTCTCTTGGCACGTTTATAAATATCATTATCATACATATATATTTTTGTGTTTGTGTCTATGTGTAGGTATAATATTTATTTATGTTTATACACATGTATAATATATAATTGTATATAAATTCATTTGTAGTATAGTTTAAGTAGTATATTTGTTAGTTACTTTATGCCGTCATCATGTTTACTGTTTCACAAAGGTTGACTGGTAGATAATGCTATTAGCATTAAGTCCGCCTCTTGTATAATTTCAATGGTCAATAAAGTTTGACAAATAAATAAAAATGCACAATCCTCACAACGCAATTCTTCTACCGTAAAAAGTTACCGTAATAATTCAGTACCTATCTTTCTGTTGAGCAGCTATCCAACTTTGTCATAGATTTTTAATATCGTCAAATACCGTATTGTAAACGACTGTTTGTTTTCCTTGATAAGTAAATGAAATTCATATATAAAAATATAGTATGACGGAGGTGAAGGGTTGTGACGGGTTCGATGCTTGAGCGAATGATTGAAAGGCTGACTAAGCTTGTAAAATTGATTTAATTATACAGGAAAAGAAAACTGTAACAAACAAAAAATTAATATAAAACAGTTCGTATGATCACCTAAATATATAATTACAGTTATTAAATAGAACAAATACATATCCCGTTTCTGGATTTTCTGTAATACATAAAACTTCGACGATATTTCACGAAGATATAATTTTAGAGTAATATTTAAATTTCCTTTCCTTATTTAAATTATAATAACTTAATTAAAAGTTATTATAATTAAATTTATATGATTAGATTACATTATCATGTTCATACCAAATAATTTTTTTACAAACTGACATTTATAAAGAGCATATTGGATTAGTCAAAATTTCAAATTACGAAAGGTGAATAATAAAAAGAAATGATGTTGAAGATCAATGACAAAAAGTTTGCATGCGGAAACCTAGGACGAAGTACAGATATACTATTTAAAGTATGCGCCTCGGTATATTTCGTGTTTATGAATTTAACCAATCAAGAAACCAATGTGTGATCGTCCTTTTAACCGCCAAAAGTCGTCAGTACCTCGACCTCGAAGTGACAGCACGCAATATTTATAACAATACGCAATAATATTTTTAAAAAAAGGAAAACCTTTAAGCAGTCAGTCCCTTGAAATAATATACAACATGTACCTGTACTTTTTAACAGAAGCTAATGTTTTTAAAAAGTTCAAAAAATGGATATTTTAATAAAGTTCAAGAAACACAGTATACTTTTATTTTTAAATTGGCTGACCTAATCTAAATTTAAGCGAAATGATTAATTATGTAATAACAACTCTATATAGATATCTTTAAAATACATTAGGATTGCCGAAGCTTGACGAATATAGTCGAAGCGCATAATTTAAATAGTATACGTGTAAACGGTTGTACGGCACACCGTTACAGGGTCACGCGGGGGAGTGTTGGGGCGTGTGCGTGGGCGCGGGAGGGTTGCACGTGGCTTCGTGCGGCGCCGACCGGGCGCTGCGGCTGTACGCGCGCACGGAGGAGCCCCTCGTGCTCGGCGACACCGAGGAGCAGGACGAGGGCCTCGCCACAGGGGATACACACGTACGTCATTGTAATGATTTTCGGGATTCCGTATCGAAAGGGTAAAACGGGAATTATTAAGACTTCGCTGTGTGTATCTCATGAACCGTGAATGTTGGACAGTTGAAATATATTTTTTGTTTATTATTAAATTTAAATGAGGAAGTATTTGAAAAGGGAAAGTACTGAAAAAGCACTTCACTAGATGGCGACTCTAGCAAAAGTTGATTTTTGTAGGAAACAAATGAACCAAAGATAGTAATTTCCGTTCCTTTTAATTAACATATTAGAAAACTGAAATTTGCAAAGTTCTAAACATAGATATACAATACAAACACGAAAAAATATAAATAGAATATGAGTTGTTTATTGTGTTATGAAAATTAATTTACTTTTATACATGTAAGAAAACCGAAAGGGTTGTCATGGAGAAATCCAGAAAGCACCATAGCAACATTTAGTTTGATCTTGGGAACTAATGTTTTTTCTTTAAATACTTCCTCATTAATTTATTTAAATACGAGCTTGATAAAGAATCTGGTGGAACGAGTTTGACATTTCAGTTTCGACTCGATTTTAAATGTGTGTTGCGTACGCGTAAATACATTGTAGTCACTATACATCATAGTTTAACTATTTTATAGCTGGTATTCATTATTAGTTATGTTGTAGATTGATATATATTACATCATCATCATCATCAACAGCCCTTTTACGTCCCCACTGCAGGGGCTCAGCCTTCCTTATGGATGGTTAAGGAGGATGGGCCATGACCCTCCACGCTGCCCCAATGCGGATTGGAGGGTATTGACGACTGCAAATGCAGCCGGGACTAACGGCTTAACGTGCCTTCCGAAGCACGGAGTAGCTCGAGATAATCATTTTTTGGTCACCCATCCCGTGACCGACCCTTGCGAAAGTTGCTTAACGACTACGATCGCGAGCCGCGGCGCTTATCCACTACGCTACCGAGCTACTCTATATATTACATACATACATATATTTGTACATTACTGATGATGTCTGACGACCGAAATTCCAACAGCAAGAAGAGGATATAAACATACGTATGGGTTTATAATAAAAATAAAATAATAATGACAATTATTTCTTTTTTCACTTAGGCCCCTGTACCTGGATTACCTGGTTTGAATATGCCCACGAAGAAAACTATAGGTGCTGAAAAAGCTGTAAGTATTATGTCATATATTATAATATACACTTTCATATTAGAGTACTCTTCATCTCTTTTAATTTATAGCCCATTTACTTAACAAAATTCCGCCAATGTTAAGTTAGTGGCGTTTACAAGTAAAGAACTCTCGTCTTCTCTTTGGAAGCCTGATGGAATAGTAAATTATTAAAAAAATACATTTCTTATCATACATTTTTGTTATTAATTAGGCGGACTCGATAATGGAATGTATATCAGTGAGTACCGAGTATACTCGTGAACTGAAAGAAGCGCGCGGCCAGTATGTTCAGCCGCCCATACTGATGGCTGCGTACAACTGCACTACAACCGATGACTTCCTACTAGAAACGTTAAAAAAAATACGCTCTAGGTAAGTGTTTTGTCAAAATTCCAAAGGAGAATGCCCTTTTTTTTTGTTATATCGAAATCGTACCTACTTACATCAATTGAAATGAACTAAAAGTGCAAATTATTTACACTTTATTGTATACAAACATACGAGGACCAGCATTCTACTTCTCGCTGGGAAGAATATGTCTGTTGTAGAAAGCATTCTTGCCTAGCAAGGACGGCGAGATAACGGTCAATTAAGGCAGGCGAAATAACGGTCAATAGACAGTTTGTGTCAGCGATATGTATCGCTCGCCATAGACCTCTATCGTTTCCTTTAACACTGACATAATAGTTTGTGTTATTTTAGAAATCAAACTGTCAGGTCTATTATTCACATAAGGTTTAATTTGGTATAACTTGTAAAGCTGGTTGTTGTCTTAAATAAATTGTACGTTTTTTTCGCCTCACAAAATGACTAAATGTGATTTTAACACTTTTCTCTTGGAACTTTTATGAAGATCATCATCATCATATGTATCATAATTCATATATGTATTTATGTTTATGTATAGGTATAATTTTTATTTATGTTTATATAATTGTATATAAATTCTTCTGTACTGTATTTTAAGTAGTATATTTATTAGTTAACTTTATGCCGTCATCATGTATTTCTGTATCCCAAAGGTTGACTGGGAGAGAATGCTAATAGCATTCCGCCTTTTGTACCAATTTAATTGTCAATAAAGTTTGTTAAACAAATGAATATTTGTCTGTACAGTGATTTAGAGGAGGCATTGTTATTGCTACCGTTCAGTGCGGCATGCGAGGTGGTCCGTTCCTTACCTTCGTTGTTGGAGCGCGGATCTGATATAGAGTTGGTGTGTCGCACCGCCATATTTCTGACGAAAATACACCGCGCCCCACTGTTGGCCAACCGCGCTTTATTAAAACACATGATACAGATACAAGCGAAAGCCACCGTGAGACTACAAGAGCTGAGGGTGAGTGTACACTACTAAAGTCCAGTCGCCAAACACAGAGAATTTCGTACTGTTATATATATATTATGAATATAAAGATGATTAAGCTTCCATTGCATTGGCATTTTTTAAACTTTTATATATGTTCGAGCAATAGAGAATATGCACATATTTATAAAATGGATTTATATGATAATTTACATCGATATATAACTGTAAAAAAATACCCGGCACCGAAAAAATAAAATTTTGTAACATTAATAATTGACGAAAATAAGTAATAACTACAAGCAGTTTAAACACCGGAAATTTGGCGCGCTCGTCGTGACGTCATAGTACACGACTAGAGATATGACATTTTTAAATGAATATTGGTTTTTGAGTGATAGATTATTATTCAATTACCTAAATCGATTAACATCTAATCGATTTTTTAAAATCAGTTGTTTATTTTGTGACATAATACATTGATGTTATTGCATCGATGTTAACTTTTTGTAACAACGACATCCCTATACGTGTACATTTTCGTCACTTCCGCTCTAATAAGTAGCATGGCGTTTAAATATTTTGAAGTTACCGCATTTATTTTGCACTTTTTAATAATTATTTTCAAGACGAAAACGAACTAATATTTAAAAATATTTAGTTAGACTTAATTCTAAGGCAATAACGATTGTAATAAAATATATTTAACCTTTTTTTGAATCAGCCGCATATTCCCTATTCTCCCGCATCCACGACCCGAGACACACGCCCACATTTAAAATTGATTTTCATGGATTTAATAAAATCATTTTTTTTTTAAAGTGACAACTCGTTTTCCTTTTAACAGTACGTTGACCTTTGTGCCTACTGATAGACATCGTAAGGTAAACGTTGAACATACTGTCGCACGTCAAGTATTTTATTTTATGTTATGACATGTATGTAACATTTGGCATGTCAGAATTTTACAATACCATCAATTAATTGTTACAACTTACATAATATAATTATATTTCATAAATATTTAATTTGTATCATTATAAAATAATTCGTCATTCTCAAAATAATAATCACAACAGGAAATTACTATAATATGTCAAACTTCCGCTGTTGAATTTGAAATCTAACTCAATTTTTTTACATTCCACAAGGCAAAAAGACCTGCTTTAGACAAACAACTATCAAGTTCATAATTAAAAAGTGTAAAATCAGACACGAAAACATGTTTAAGTGACTTTTAAACGTAGTTTGAGACATGCTTAACTTTAAATACTTATTTCAGAAACCGGGTGTTAGTTAATTAACCTAAACACTCACTAAAATCGGACTCAATCATCACCATTGCTCACTGGTGTATTGACCATTTAGAATAGATAGACCGTAAATTTTAATGTGTGTTGACTACATTGATCTTATTAGTAATGACTTTTCAGGATATGGTTGGTTTCAACATGCACGCTTTGCAATGGATGAAACGCGAGGCGGAAGCTGCGGAAAGCGAACAGCTATTCAAAGAGGCGACAGACGCGAGACGTACGCGCGACAAACGCCGAAGGACGAGACAAGCTGTCAAACGACCCATCGTTACAGTTACATGAAACTATTCAATAAATAGATTTTGTATATAGATAACCATGTGAATTTCATTTAAAAAATAATCTCACGTACAAATAAGTGATTTGAAGTGTCCCCTTTGTTACTTTAACAGAGTGTGTTATACTAAAATGGAATTCGCGATGGGTCCAATCGTGAAAAAATTACAAATTCGCGATTAGTCCAATTCGCTATTGGGCCAACTCGCTGTTGGGCCAATTCGCTATTGGGCTAATTCGCTATTGGGCCAATTCGCTATTAGTCCAAAATAAAAGGATATCATAAATAAAAAAAAGGAGGTCATTTATTTATATGGATTTTAATTATTATATATTATAATAACTTTGAGAATTAATTAACAACTTGTTTTATATTTACATGACATATATAAGTATCTTATAGCCATTAATTAACACCTACTTTCATATTTACCCGAAAAACTAAAAATGATTGGTACATTCATTCCAACAATATTCAATTGAAATATTTTTGACAAATAAATTGTCGCATTTCCTCCTTTTGTTATTTGTATTTTACAATAAATATAAAAATAAAACATATAAACATATATTGTTCCACAAATTTTTAAATAACTACATATATTAAGAGCCATATTACATCTCAACTGTGATTTCTGCGTGATTTTTCTCGGAAACAAAAACAAATTAACAATTTTGACTTGTTGAATAGTGAAGAATAACTCTTGGTATAGAAAAAAGTGGCTTAACTTTTTGGAAATTTTGCTCATCTTTTTAATTAAACCCAAAATACCAGAGAAAGAATTTCATAAAATGCGCAAAGACACTTTTTTGAAGTCCTGGGTTGAGCTACTGTTCTTAACAAACGAAATAAAAGAAATAGAATGATATCTCTTATATAGTCGTAAAGTAAACAGTAGCTCGAAATTTTGAAATAGCAATGATTAAATATAGAAAAACAATCATATTACAAACCAAAAAACATCAAAAATTGCTTGAAGTTAACTTTGAATTTCTCTTAGCCACAACAATATTATTTAACAAAATTTATACCAGATTAATGACTATTTCATAAGGAACAAAGTTATTATAAATTTAAAGCATAAATGTATTATATTATTTCAATAAATACGATAAATGTAAATGCAAAATAACTACAAAATAAGATGCAGCGGCCGTCTGAGCTCAGTACCGCGCGAGCGCTCCTCAACGTTAGACCTGTGTCGCATTACTTCGCGCCATTTTTCGATCTATATACGTTCGAGCGAACGTATATAGATCGAAAGAGAAAGAAAATAGAGCAGTATAGTGGGACTTCCAACTTTGGTCACGAAGTTCGATTTATATGGAATTTATATAGCTTGTTGAATTATTTCTAATACACATTTGCTATTTTCAGCATAGGTCGAAAGACCCCTAGGTATATTTGTATAAGAAAGTTAATATATATATATATATATATATATATTAAGAAATGCAAATAAAGCAAGGTACTTCTTCTCTCAATAGACTTATACTAGTACATAAAAATTGGAGTGCATATTTGTAATATTAAAATAACCGCTTTTCAATAAATACATTTGTGTGTATACATGGTACATATACAAAAATAATATATTTTATCTTGCTGTCTGTTAGTTCTGGCTAATCTCTGAAACGGCTTGGCCGATTTTGAAGAGACTTTCACTAGAAGTTGACTTACATAATGAGGATTAACTTAGACTTATGGCTCGATGCAATTTGATCCGCATATCAAACAACTTTTTCTAAATTCAATATATTTTTAATACCCGACGCAAAAACGACGCGGTGTTATAACTTTGACATGTCTGTGTGTCTGTGTGTGTGTGTGTGTGGTGTGTTTGTGTCTTTTTGTAGCATCATAGTTCCCGAACGGATGAACCGATTTTGATTTTGTTTGAAAGGTGTATTAGTCGGGAGTGTTCTTCACTTTGATGAAAATCGATCCAAGATGGCCGCCGCCACAAAATGTCGGATTACATATTTTATCACCATTCCATCAATATGGGTATCAAATAAGAGGGCTTGAATAGTAGAATACTGAACACTATGACAAATTTCAAATCAAAGATGGCCGCCACCAAAAATGTTGGATTACCTACATATTTCTCACGACTCCCTCAATACGGACATTAAATAAAAGGGCATGAGTGTTGAGTAGTATATACTAGACAAGCCAATAATGGGATGGGCGATCAATCTTTTTTATTTAGCTGAACTGAAGGGGTGGTGGTGGGGCGGAGCGGGGCATGGCGAGTATTTACTCTCTTTTTAACGCATACTTGTTTAGTAACGTGTAAAAAAATTTCGTCACCCATCCGATTACTGACCTTTGCAAACGTCGCTTATCCTCTACAATCGCAGATCAAACTTGTTAACTTCTTCAGCATCAAGTCAATCCACCTAGCATTTCTGACTGAACCCACGTGTGGTGGTGCTAACGAACAGATATTCTCAATAGATGAAATTATTCCAACCAGCATTTCTCGTAGCATTCAGCACACCAATTAGGATTAGTAGTGTAAATCACATATTATTAATCGTTGATTTAAATGCATCCAGAATTCCGCACTGGTCCCACATAAAGGTGCCAGTGCGGATTGGTGGTGCTAAAGCATATATATTTTCAATTAATGATTAATTGACCACCCATCCGATTGCCGGCCTTTGCAATCGTCGCTTAACCTCCTCAATCGCAGATCAAACGAGCTATCCGGCACCATCAGGCTTTTCATTTGTTTATATACGGATATTGCTGTATTTATTTGTAAAATTCAATATATTTTGATGATATGGTAAGTTTGAGCAAATGAATCGTTCCTCTATATTATTGAACAGAAAATCAAAAGCAGATCGAGCGTTCTACCGCCTTCATACATTTGAAGTGATACCGCAGACCATGAGATTTGTGACCGAACACTTGAGTTTTTCCATACATTTGATAAGTGCATGCGATTCGTGTGATATCGTTCATTGATATCGAATAACATCGCATCTAGCCATGAGAAAAGAACCTTAGGTTACTTTCCATTCGCATAAAGTCGCGGGCACAACTCGTTTAATATAATTCTAATTTACTACTTTTCCAAACAGGAAACAGTCCATGTTTCCTATGGATGACGAAAATATTTCGAAATCGTCAACGAAATATATGGCACGAATATTTTTTAATTAATATTTACAGCGTGTTTGGTATAATCCCGAATATGGCACATACGGTATGATGAATAGAACCCAGAAAAATGATAACTAAGTCTGAAACCCAACACATGATCTAGATATTCAGCTTTTTTCTTCGAAGTAAAACTGTACGCTGACAACCCTAAAAACAGCTGTTGTGTTGTATTTGGTCATCGACTCCATGTGCCGAACTAGTTTAAAAAATTACAGAAGTTAAATAAATCTAAAGATAAATGCCTAGAATAAATATGCATCCGAGAGTAATTTATTATTTCCAAACAAAGAAAAAGTTAGTAGTAAATGACTTTTAACCATAAAAAAACACTAATCTTGTGATTAACGGTGTTTCAAAAACTATTATTAAGGAAACTTCTCTAATAATACAGTCAAAATAAAAAAGAAATTGCAAATACTTTGATTGAAGTTCAATATCTGCACCATTGCTCACATTAGTCTATGCAAGAAGGAGCGACAGAGACATAAAATCGACGGCGATGTGTATTGAGAAACTCGGGTTTCTGATGTGTCAGTAAGGTTCTGTAGATTATTTGCTTTGAAGTTTTGTTATTTTTTTCATAAAGTCGTGTTATTTTTACGAAACAATAAAATACGGACTTGCACAATGATATTAATAATCTAAGTATCTCGCTTATTCTTAGTTTAAATGATAATTAAATAAAGGTTAGTTGTAATGGAAAGGTCTAATAATAAATAATATTTCTTTTCTTTTCTAATTTAATCAATAATTTTTATGCCTTATAATTTTGTTAATGACTTGGTCTTAAATTAGGTAACCACTTTTAATATTATGGCCTTTTATTCTTTTGTAACCGTGAAAAGCGTAAATAAAATTGTAATAATAAGTAAACAGCCTAATTATCAATTTCGTCAGTAAAAAATGGTATGATAAGTTAATTTGAAATTTCATTGTTTAATTCAATAAAAAATAACGATTTTTTGTTAGGTAGGTTACGTAACACAGAATTTGATGACGCGGGACCCTAAATCGGTGCACTTTTGATTTAGGTACATTGGTGTTCGAGTTGCAATAATAATAACCTATGTAGTTTTGGTCATCGCGTCAGTCGTGTCCGTGACTTTCATCGGCGTACTTGTGAGTTTTCAGAATTTAGAAGGTCAACTTACGTTTTCGTTCTTTCGGGACTTTTGGTTTGTTTTTCATTCTCGTTCTGTTTACCTGTGTGTTATGTTTGTGTGCGGTCAGTGCAATGAATTCGTACTCAAATGCCTTATATTACGAGATAATAATGTGTGACGGTGCTTGTGACGATAATCTTGCTGCGGCTCGGCGGCGTTATGACGAGCGCCACGTGTCAGGAAGATCTGAAAACCATCGACGTCTTCCTTCTTACCGGTGATTCGCGGCACTTGTGAATCGGTTACATACAACTGGTTCATTCCATAGTGTGCCACAGGTAGGCCGGCCGAACACCTATTCCATCGAGACAGAGGATATGATTTTACGTCGAGAGTAACACGACACGGTCTGTGTCGAGTCGAATGGAGATGTGTGTTTTATGCGGTGGCCGGCGGCATATCGAGACCCTGGACTGATAAAGTGGATGTGAAGTGTAGGTAATGTTGACAAGTGAAAGCTGAAAGAGTGATTAGAACGCTGTAAGTATGTACCTGTTTAATCTTAAATTGTTTTAATTACAAGTAAACTCATACGTAGTTGAGTGCGCGCGTCATCAAAATGTATTCTAGGAAACGAGAGAGAGAGAAAGAGTGAGTACGCCGGGACGGCACGTATATGCTTACAGGGTTGTAGCATAGTAATTGAAAACAAATTGTTCAAATATTTGTATGAAAATATCAATTTACGTGAAATTGTTTT